AACACTACGGAAGTAGGATAAGGTAGGGGAGATGATGGTTAAGGGTAGAGTTGGTAATGTTTGAAGGTTTCTATTGCATCTCATTGTAACATGTAACTTAAATGACGATCATGAAACCAATTTGTACAACTAAAAAAATATTTTATATTACAAATTACAAAAAATACATGCACTTTTTTGTATGAAACTTGAATTCTTTTACCTAAAAAGGCTAGGTCACTAGGCTCGAATGCTCCATGGTTCATTAGAAACTCAGAAGTGCATGAGGTTTTAAAAGTGAACACCGTCCAGCAGGAAATCAGGTTAATTACTGAGCGCTATAAAAACAGAATTACAGATAACCATAATCCCTTGGTTGCAGTCTTACCCAAATGTGGCCATAAAAGGAGACTCAAACTGGCCACTATCATGAGTAGATCAGTCAGGGTCTTCTGTAAAAGTAGAAGTTTCTCAATGGAGAAAACTTTCTAAAAATCCAATCTTTCCTCTCATTTGCTTAAAGTTTCAAAGACTGATTGCTGATAAAATTTAAAAAAAGTTTAAAAAACTAAATTTAAAAAACTAGGCTATTAATGTGTCTACTGTATTCGACTTTAAAATCGATATCTAGATTCCTTTACTTACTCAGTAATTTAAATTACTAGCCAAGTGCGAACTGACCTTAATATATCTCTGTTTTAAAAATAAAAAGGGAACCGACAAAGAAGGTTGTTCAACTTTTCTAATATAAATTATAATGCGTAGTGCACTCGTAGCGGGAACCTTTCCCTACCAGTACCTACGTGTTGCATAGACCCGTCTTAATTATGTAAATGTTAGCGCTCGCCGTGTCAGGTCAAGTTGGCCGTGTAGACAGCTGTTGCATTGTTATACCTTAGAACAATGTATATGTTTGTGTAGCTCTGTCTTAGGACGAGGTCAATTTCACAATTAGTTTCAAAGTCCACTATCGTTATGGATAGTTATATATATTTTCCAATTAAAATTACATAAACAAACCAATGCTTTAGGAAATACACGATATTGTTTCTTACGCTGTTAGTTACATCGTAATGGAAAGTTGATTCTAAGAAAATCTATTAAGATCGCGCGCACACCTAAACTGTTAAGTCTCCCTTTGACTCCTATAAACTTATATGGAGGTGCGCACACTACTCGATTTTTAGTTGGGTAAATAAACAGTTGAATTGGCTGCGAAACAATCGACAGTCGCACTACAGTTGTGCGATCTTTAGTCAAAGGTGTGAGCCCGCTTTAATACTTGAGTCTGTCCAATATGAAGATATGTGTTATTTGTTATCTTAACAAAGCTAAAAATAGTTTAAAAAAAGCAAGTTCTAGTTATAAAATCTTCCTTATTAATTTGTAATACAGCTTCGTAAGTGGATAAAAATTCAAATACCAAGCGCTACACTTCCACGGGGACTGTAAAACTTTAGTTATCGCTTTTTAAAGTATGAATTATTTTATGTACAACATTATAGTAGAATATTCAATGTTATTGAAGTCCATGTAATGATTTTTGTTTGTTTAAAAACTTCTATTCTTTAACCACGAAGTAAAACTAACATGTACAATTAAAGAATTAATTTCGCTTCCCACTTAGTATCGAATATAGTACGTAACTATAATATGAAGTATTGTGAATCTAAAGATTTTAGTGGAAATATACGTCCCCGACTATACAAACTTATTTGTAAAATAAAGCAATGATTAATCAAGAAACACAGTTTCGTAATTGAACAATTGAATCAACCTCCTTAGTGGATTAGAGTTGTAAAGCATGCACCCTCGTCAGTCGCCACATAATCAGCCTAACAACTTCCAGACGTTTCCGCCTCTGTAAACCTTCTTTGAAACGAATTAACTAAACACTCTTCTTATTTGTCCAGATGTAACTTTAAAACTTGATTATTTTAAATGTACTTTTTTGACCGACTTCCCTAAAGAAGGAGGTACTCAATACGTCTGTATGTGTTTTTTTATGTGTGTTACGGCATAACTCCGCCGCTAGTGGACAGATTTTGATAATTCCTTTTTTATCCGAAAGATAGTGCTTGCACGTCGGTCCCATTTTTTTTGTTTGATTTTTTGAGTACGACGTAGATAATTAGCTCAAAATCGCGTGACGAAATTTGGGGTCATTTTTGCTTTTTATGAAAACAATTATACATAGAAGCACAAATTAAATCTAAAGACAATTGAATTTAAAATTAATATCTAATTGTTGTTGAAAATATTTTAAGTTACTAGAACGTCTAATTTTAAACAATCCCATATTGTTAAATGTGTCGAAAACCAACGGATATTAAAATCTGAGGCAATAGGAGAACTAAAAGAATTGATAGTCTCAAAAACTATTAATTTATCGAACAGTCGAGATGTGTTTTAATTCTAAAAAAACACTTTTATAAAAATAAGTAGAGCTTTGTAAAGGCTGCATATATAAAATAGCAAATATTTTTCGTTAAAACAACAAAAATATGAAAACTGAGCATCTGTTGCACGGAACTGTGCGGAACTGCGCGGACGGATGACTTTTTTAAATGCTCGCATTTTGTTTGGAATAACGTTTGAATAAACCCTTGAACGAAGTAGTTTAAAACGAGCTATTGTTCATAGCGCTAAAGATTTAACTATGTCGCACTTTTTTAAAGTAGAAATTAAAATTATAATGCAAATATAGGTAAAAAGTGAGGTTATTTTGTTGTGTGGTCGATACGAAGTTTCTCAGAGATACGCTTTAAATATATTTTATTTAAAACATTTGCAGTATTCTACAGTACAATTTATGTAATTAAAAATATAACGCAATTTCCTAACTTAGCTAATTGTATTAAGTAACAGACACTTAATATATTGCGTACTTGAAGGTCCCTTGAGCGCTGTAGACCGAAAGGCAAGATGTTGAACAAAAACAACCCTTCGCGGGACCCTAAATAATTAATTAAGCCTCGCGCCCGGCATCACTCGCCTTACACCAACTTTGACTATAGACAAACGGACTAGATAGCTATACTCATAACCGGTAGGGTAGGGCAAGGTGTAACGACCGCAAAGGGCACTGGATTAAATTGTAACCACAGAGGCCCTAGGCCCTGGCTGTAATGAATAAATATTACTACTTTTTGCATATAGTATAAAACGTAATTAACTCGTGTGTATTATGACAATGCTTTTTCGATCAAAAACACATAGGAAACAAGCACACAATTTAGAAATACTCGTTGATAGATCCTGTCTCTTAATAGTCAACGCGGTTGAGACACCACTCTTAACTGTACTTTGTAAACAGACATAAATTTCAACAAGGATTCGTTGAATATTAATCCCAAGGGAACTGACTTCCTAACGATTATAAAATGATTTTGTGTTTAGTTCTTAGTGCTTTAAAGAATCATATTTAATAATATACTCACGCTCGTACCTCAGAGAGGTAGCAGACTACTGTTTTAGCACGTATGTGGTACAGCTGTCTTTTTATAATTGGCTGAACGTTTTGCAAAGTCGGACTTAACAGGCAGAGTTTTTCAAGTCTTCGCAACATGTAAGTAGTTGCAAAGAACAATTTTGTATGTAGCTTAAAGGGATTACGAGGAATGTAAAATTTAGTATAAATAAAACAACTAATAATATTTTTAACAGCTTTATTGTACATCATAGTTTTAACACGATAGGATATAAGCATTTCCTAACAGCATGCATGCTCCTAGCGCATATCAACTACCCGGGACAAACTGAAATGAACTCTAACCCTATGCTATAAGATGTATTATTAAATGACAAAATTCACCAATAAAATTAGTGATGTGACAATTGGTTCGTATTTCATAAGATATCGAGTTTTTGGGTATATTTAGTGTCTCTTGTCAGGTGATTTTTTTTTATAACATTCGATTTTTTGTAGCTAACTAATATTATAAAAAGGAACGGTTTGTATTTTTGTATGTATTGAAATAACTCAAAAATTCTAGACCGATATCAATAATTCTTTCACCATTAAAATGCTGCGTTATCAGAGAGTAACATAGGCTTTTTTTTTTAATTTAACGCGGGCGAAGTCGTGAGCAACAGCTAGTTAGTAGTTAATATGTTGATCCAGGTATAAAAATGCCTTCGAATTTTGCATAAAATCATGGAACTAATTCCATTAAATGCCAAGATTTTTGTATTCTTAGTTGATATAAATTTAATAGTTGTAGTGATGTTTGCTTTATCGATACTTTTTCGTAGAATTTTGTCATTTAATAATATTAGACAAGTGATAGATAATTAAAAAGTATAGTTCATTACACAATATATTACGTTTCTACACATGTACGCACTTTGATATATTAATTCGGGTCCGTACAAACATGTTTTCTAAGTTAAAATCAATCTTGGTATATCTCTATTGAATTCCTAAAAAAACACATGAAATCTATTCCAAACAAATTTTAACTTTAAAATCTTGAACCTCTAATCAAATTCTTGTAATTTATATAATATTAATGAAAAACATCGATAACTATCGACATACGGACCCAACTCTATTACACTAAAGGAATGATAAAACATCGAAATTCTCTATAAATTATAATTTACTCTAAATTCATATTAAAAAGGGAAAAATTCATTTTTATACATAAATTATAAAATAATATAATTAAATGAATTAGCTTATAATAATGAGGATGAAAGGTAAACATTCAAAATTTTATATTACTTTAAACATTAGGGATGTCCAACATTCTTTAACAATATCGATATTAGAGATTATATTATTAAGAACTATTTGGTGATAAGATTTCTAAAACACTACAAACATGAACATCAAAATTCGCTTTTTATAGCATTATACCTTTCCGATATTATTTGCAAAAGCTTCAATAAACATATTTCATTCTAAGTCAGAAATACATCATAAAAATTAAAAATCTACAGGTAAATGTATTTTTTTCGAAAAACTTTTTTTGTGCAAAAATCAATAAAAACACACCAATCGAATTTAATTTCATTTTTCCTTTCTGAGATTCAAAAAAAAAATAATTGTATAATTCAAAGTAATGTATACATTTATATAAGAAATTATATATAATTCTGCTAAAAGAATCTCATGTATATATTGCGACAAATTATATACAAAATGTCTAACACGCCGTATCGTCTGATCCGTTACAGAAGTTTCAGCAATCTGAAATTAAATACATATAATAAAGATAAAAAAAATAATTACGACACATTTTCACTATTAACTAGACTACGCTAAAACTCGTGAATTCCAAAATATTTCCGGTAAAATATATTATACTAGCTTTCGTCCGCGACTCCGTCCGCGTGGAATTAAAAAAGAAAAAAAAATCAAAATTCAGTAGCCTATGTGTTCTTCCAGACTATCCTCTACATCCATACCAAATTTCATCGAAATCGATTCAGCCGTTTAGGCTACAAACTCCAACAAACATCCATCCATCCATCCATCTAAACTTTCGCATTTATAATATTAGTATGAATGGTAATTGATAAAAACAACTCCAACGAAAGGATCTAAAAGATAAAATTCTCGACAATAAATTTTCGGTTCATCAGGATGGTTGTTTATTTAATTTTGTAGCCTAAATAACTAAACGGATTTCAATCAAATTTGGCACAAATACATAGCCTGGAAGAACACAGGCTTACTATCTTTAATACTACTTTCTGTTTACTACCAAAACAAAACGTCTAAAAAAGAGTAAATCTGATCTCCAAACTATATTTGTGTTTCTACATTAATTACCGGTAAGTTCAAAATTACATGTTTCATTTCTCATTGTTAGCAAAGCATTGTATTTATTAAATTAAAGGCCTGTCCTACTAAAATGTCTGATAACAATCCCACATGTAAAATATGTGATGAAAATAATGGATTTTATTCCCTTATCTAACTGTGACGTCATTTTTAAGCTATCTGAGTGTCTATCAGCCAGTGATGGGAGAGGCCCAATTTAGTATTTTTAAATCTAACTATAATTTCAACCCAACTATAACTTTTTCTTAAGGTAATTATATACTCACGGTGTACTCGTAGTGGTGTGCCTAGCATCGTGTTTCGTAAAGTCCGGAGCGGCCGATATATCGCACCCATTTGATCACATCGTGGTCAGAGTAATTCAACTTGGGTTCAAACACCTTCAAATAACGAACCTGGCGACATAAGGAAAAGTTATTTTTATGTTAAATTCGGGAATTCAACAAAATTATGATAGAAAAGTAACAAAACCTGCTATCTCAGACCGAAACTAAAATTGCTAAATGATGTTGAAAGAAGCATTAAAAATATCGACATCAAGTATTGGATAAAGCCCAAAATTGACCTATATGGAGAAATTTACTGGATGAAATTTGAAGATAAAGCCAATAAAAGCGAAAAAGCAATATTGCCATGGTAACGGTAATTATTAACTAATGCCAAAGACCTACAATCTCAATGAATTTTGAAGTTTACTGTTAATTTATGTGGAAGAAGAACAATAATTTCACCTTGAATCCAGAAGGTGCAAACGGCACCTCAAAGCCCATAGAGATGGGTGGTCGAGTCCATTTCTTCTTAGTGTCAGTTTCTAGCAGTTCTATCTCAGCGGACAGTTGAGTTTCCTTCATGCCAGCCATACGTTTTATCCTGAAAATAAGTAAAAGAAGTATTACAAAAGATAATTGGTATAATATTTACAAATATAATCGATACAGATACAGATTTTTGACAGTGGTAGTGCCCGCGTTAATATGTTAGCAGTGCAGGGCACGCCCCCAGTAATTCCACGACCACCCAGAAGACAGCCGTGAAATGGAAGCAATTCCGTGTTTCGTCTGATGAGTGTGGTGACGGAGGCCTAATTTAAGTCCCTTTCTCTTTACCACCCTTTTCTTATAAGAAAATCCTCTTATAAGAGGATGGGAAGGGGAAGTGGATTTGACGGTGGAGGAGATGCAAAGGAAGGGGAAATATCCTCTTTATGTGCGTCTCCTCCTCCGTCGTATAAGGGTAGGCAACGCATCTGCAATTGCGGATGTCTATGGGCAGCGGTCGCTTCGCCATTTTGGCGGTTTCAGGTGGTCGCTTGCTTGTTTGCCACCTTATGTTATAAAAAAAAATACTTAGTTTATAAATTCAAATACAAATTCCATTAAAATATCAAAGTTTCGTTCCAGTAAGATATTAAGACTAAAGTGTCCTTTGACTACTTAAAATATCTTATAGTTGAATGGAACTCTGAATAGGACCTCACAATATTTCAGTTCAAACAAATCTATACTATTATAATAAAGCGTAAACACACACTTCTTTGTGTCCTAAGATGTCAGCAATTACAGCATATTTTTGAATAATTATTTTTGTAATAAAAAGCCCTACACTTACGCCATGCTTTAGACTATATATTTTCACGCCATTAAACATAGAGGGTTAATATTTTGGATAAAAACCCTAAGTATATAGTAAGAAAGCAAAATCGCCATAGTAAGGTAATTGGTATTTTGACATTTGCAATTGATTATTTGACACATGTGAACTATAAAATAACATTTTTATAAGTTTATGCGGATAAAGTCGCAGGGAACAGTTAGTTTATCATATAAAAGAAAGACCAATAGAAAACATACAACTTACTTCCATACAATAGCATTCTCCGAAGCCTTATATTTAGCCTTTCCCTTAAGACAAATCAACTGAACTCCGCTGGTATTCAGCGGAGTTGGGATCTTAACCTCAATCTTTTGTCCGAGCAGGGACGGCTTGAAGTTGCTCTTCAGTACTACCTTCACTTCCATCTTAGTGCGGCCAACTTCACGCACCAGCGGTATCACACGGAACGGCAGAGAAATATCTTTAGTAGTACGATATCTCATTAATTCAAACTCTCCGTCAGGTGGTATGAATGAAATGGAGTGTTCGGTTTCAAATTTGCTGAGTTTCACACATTGATGGAACTGACAGTCGTCGATGACTACCACTGGCTTGCCAGAGCGAGCGCCTTCGCTATCGGTGTTGCCAGATATACCACCTAGAATTAATATTTATTTATTTAAAAACTACCCTTTACCCTCAACTCAGTCTGTGCTAATTTAGGAAAACAATGTAAGTAGCCTGTGTTTTTCCAGAGTCTGTTCTACATCTGTGCCAAAAATCATCAAGATCCGTTCAGCTATTCTCTATATATATCTTCTAACATCCATCCATCTAAAGTTCCTCATTTATTATATTAGTAAGAAGTAAGGTAGCTAAAATCCATTCAAGATTTCCAAGACATTACGGTTTTAACTCCAAAAATTGCACTTTAACATACATTTTTACAAGTTACTTATTTTTTTGTCAAATGGAAAGTGACAAAATATTTTTGAAATACACTATTGTGCTAATATAACTATTTCATTACAAAAAAATACAAAATAATGTTACATTCTGTAAATTCATTAAAAATCTATAATGCTACTCACCATTCCCCTTGCCTTTAGCTTCCATAACAATCTTATCGTTGATGCCAAATTTGCACTCAGGCATTCCGGAGAGGTAGGACTTCATGACCACCTTGCCTGCCACATGGGCTGACAGCACTTGACCTATTAGAAAAAACAAATTATCTGTCTATCTATACTAATATAATAAAGCATAAACACACAATACTTTGTTATGTAGGAAATCAATCTCAGTGTAATTTTTTAATCAAAAGCCACACATTTACAACAGTTTATAGCTTATATATTTTCACGCTATTTATTTTAGGGGATGATTAAATTGGAAAAAATAGCTCTGCAAGAAGGGGACAACAAATACAAACTAATAGCAGCCATGCGAAATTGCCATGTAATAATTGATATCCTAAGGCAAAGGCCTTCATTGTCATTTGAATTAAGATTTAATAAATTGAACAGGAGATAAAACTTATATTAAAGTTTTATATGCAAATTACACTAAAAAAAAGCTAATAATAGATAAATTCCAAAAGTAATTTAATTATTTATTTTATTTAGAAGTATACATGTAAAACCAATTAAAACCGACCAAAGTTATTCAGCCAATATTCTCAAAACTGAACAAGTGAGAACATAAATCCAGTTTTCATTTTTTAACATACCTTGAGGAGACATGAGTAGGTTGACATACTCCAACACATCAAGGAACAATTCATTACGTCTGTACTTAATGCCTTCGCGACGCCAACCAATCTGTCCCGTCACCTAAAAAAAAGCAAACAATAGCTTTAAAAACTAGTAAAAGTACGTGTTTTTTAAATTATTCATAGCAATATAATTCTGTCATCATCATCTCCCCTGAATTATCCTGCTCCCGTAGGGTCGGCGCACCAAGTTTTCGTCCTCCAAATAAATCTATCATCCGTCATCTCAGTCATCACTCCCTTCTTGATCATATCACCTTTCACACAATCCATCCATCTCTTTCTAGGTCTACCTCTACGGGTGAACCCCTCCCCATTCACATCTAAAGTCCTTCTTGTTACATGCGATTCATCCCTTCTTTTCATCTAACCTTTTACTCCTTATTTTCTCAACCACTGGGGCTACTCTAAAACTTCCTCTAATATACTTGTCGGAATCAATGCAACACTAGCGCCAGCATTGCAACACTAGCGACATTGCGGCAGTAAAGAGTACTACGTAACGCCAGCGCCGCCTGTCGGCGTTTGATGGAGTCAACGTGTTAAAGGGGCCGAGCGAGGGGAGCGCAGGTCACTACGGCAGTGACAGTCAGCAAGATCTAACTTCTAGAGTGACCGGCAGCAAGTGCTCACTTTCTTAGTGGCTGTCAGAAGGAACGCACTCGTTTCGTGGCTGTGAGCGACAACGGTGCCGTTGAAACCATCACGCATTACAGACTCTGCCACGAATGGAAACATACCTCCAGCGACAAGGAAACTCACTATTGTCATCGGAATCACCTAACCCACCTTAATTACGACATACTGATTTCGTATCTTAGCAATATCATTCCGTATTGTATTTATATATAAATAGATAAAAGAACAATGCACTATTAATTATAGAAAACATTGATTTAATTCCCTAAGTCTATATAAGCTTATTACTGATGACTGTATTGAAATTTTCGATTTTCTTTACAGAGGTAGCATGACAATGGGTGATTCCTATAAAGCCATTGAGTCTAATGGGAATCTTGTTTCCTATTGGATCTATTGTTTCTTATGCTTCAATTAGCCCAATCTATACATTATTATAAAGAGGATTGATTTGTATTTTTGTATGTATTGAAATAACACAAAAACTACCAATTTAAACAATTCTTTCACCATTAGAAAGGTAATTAATAGGCTATATTTTGCATTACTTTTTTTTAATATTGTGTGGACAAAGTTGCGAGCAACAGCTATTAGGCCTTATTGTAGTCCTTTTCCTTTTCCACGCTTTTCTTAAGACGATTCAGCGGTGGAGAGGAGATGCATAAAAAAGGGAAATGTCCTCTTTATGTGTGTCTTTGTCAATGAAGGGTAGGCAACGCATCTGCATGTGCGGATGTTTATGGGCAGCGGTCGCTTTCCATTTCGGTGGATTCGGGTGGCCGCTTGCTCGTTTTCCACCTTATATTATATAGTAGTAAATATATCCCATTGAATCTATTAATCACTGCTCTGATGGGTCCAATGGGAAACTTATCACAATATTGTATTTTATACAATAGAAACAAGTCTATTTAAGATAATAGAAACTTTTTACCATTGGTTGAAACAAAATAAACTTTGTCACCAATAAACTGCCTTGTTAAACTGTTTGGTTATAATAGTTGAATATTGTTAGCTTAACTGAAGTTACCTGTGAAGTGATCTGCGCCTGTTCTTCTTTGGAAGCAGATTTAATGCCCTGCTGAGTAATAAAAGTCTTGAGAACTCCGGTATCCGAGTTCTGAGGATAACCAAAATCCAAGATCTCTGCAAAAATACAAATTATAACATTTTATGATGTAATTTTACAGAAAAAGTTCTACAACTGACAATTTTTTAGAAGAAAAGGAGAAGAGAAGAAGAAAATGTTAAAGAAGAGAAGGTTAAAGGTCCTTACGAAAGTGGTTACTTTAATGGTCACAAATTCATAAGAAGACACAGAAAAAAGCTGGGTTATTTTCTAGAAGAAAAAATAGTACTAAAACATAATTTTAGTCATGCATAAATGTAAGAAAGACAGAGTTTGACCTTTTTTCTTCTACTTACCATCCAACAGCTCGTAAATAAGAACAAAGTTATTCTTTATGTTCTCTTCGGAGATCTTCCCGAAGTATGACTGCATTACATCAATAATCTTGAGCAGGAATTCAAACACCATTGCGGCGTTCACATTTTGCTTGGTCACCGCTGCCAACCAGATGTTGGCACGCTGTTAACATTATTAATTAGAATGGGCGTTGGCAAGAGGTTAGAGTGGGATAAAAAATTTGCAAGATTTTTAATTGTAAAGATACACAATACTTAATCCAAAGGTTTTCTATAAAATTATGTAATTGAGTAAGTTTTTATACACTAATTGACATTTATATGTTTAAATAATTATTATAATATACATTAATGAGAAAATAGGGGCGTTTCATACCTTTATGTGAAAAAAGGACGTGCGAGCGATGTTCGTGACGGGCGACCGCACTTGCTGCCTGGCGTGGATAACATTCACCCTGAATGCATCCACGGCATTCCGTCCTATATCATCTCGATATACCCTCGAGATTAATACTTCGCCTTTATGGTTGTAGACGAATAAGCCTCCAATCATCTTGACCTAAGCGTAAGCTGTTGTAAAAAAAATATTTTTAAACACTACCTTCTACAAACTAAGGTTTTTTTATTCATCAATGGGACACTTATGATGGATAAGACGATAAGCAAATCAATAGAACAGGATATGGCCAATAAAATATTTTTTTAACAGCTAACTCGAAGCATGAATGTACTGATGATGAGCTTACCTAGTACAGCCAAAAGGCATTCATCGAGACTCCACTATGTACTAATTTCATGAAATCTAATATAAGAGATCTAATACTACCATTTTATTCTAAACTATTTTAATTATAAAATGATTAAACTTCGATACCCGCCCCCAAAATGAAACGTCAATAGCATCAATGAATTGCAGAAACCAAAGACAATTTATATAACTTTAACAAAAAAGCTACATCTGTCAACACTGATCTTTGCTAATAGATAGGCTGGAAACGACAGCTTTTCCTGCGTTTCTATTTAAACGCCCCTGTTGATTCTATTCTTTTCTAGTTTGCATAGTCATCACCGCCACCTTTTGCAACTGCCAGCGCCGTAACAGCGTAGATCATATGAGAATAAAGTACCATGACGTGAAGTCAATTTTTATCGCATTTTTAGAAACAAGTTACTAAAATGTAGTTATAATCTTTTATATCTATAGGTGATGCCAACTTAATTAACTCCGTGCAATCTTATTTAGAACTGCATTTAGAGCAATTGCAGTTTTCATTTTGGTCTTAATGATCTAAAATAGTTTAGTAATAGTGCAACCCTATCTTACTGAAGATTGAAAGCAAAATTTCTACCTTGTTTATGGTTCGTGAACTGGGTCGATTATGTCATGGCGGGTTAGATGTTTTCGGCGCTTGTATTTATTGAATTTATTTTGAATAACGCCGTCAATGATCTCGTTTCCTACGCTTTTGTTTAAAAGTTGCGGTATCTGTACTCTAGTGATCATTTTATAAACCTTTCAAATGTTGAAACAATTGCAGATGGGCCTACGCACGTTCATGCTTATCGCATCCAAAGTATGGAGTTGTTTTTGTTATATGTTTAGAAAGCAGTATCGAGCGGTAAATATAATATTTCAGAATTGTTTAGTAAATTTGGTGAATTAGAAAAGTATATTGTGTGCCTACATGTGGTGTTTCCTTTGCAGTTGGCTCAGTATCAATCTGTCAAATATGAAATTTATCCTCTTTCACCAGTATCTCGACACAGGCTGAGTGAGTATAATCAGTTTTTATCACTACCTTATTATTGTTATTGAAATCTAGAATGATTTGCAATGTATTTATCTTTAGGACGCATTTTATCAACTAATACCTAAACGCATACGAAAGTTAATTTGCATTTTCTTCTTTTTCCCTTGTAAACAATTTAAATTCTTATTTAAAATCGTAAAATATTCTTACAACATTATCCGTCAACAATTTCGATTATATTTTATGCAATATGCATTTTATTATTAATATTGACAAACATTTTTCATCATAAGTATTTGTGAATATCACTTTGTCTTACTTATCATAAAGATATTGTTATCTTTTATTACAAAACTTCTATTTTCTTACATTTCATCATTATAAGTTGAATGTATGCAATTTTTATATTGTATGAAGACTGGCATTTGCTGATAATATTGCTCTAGGTGATAATTTATTGAACATTTTCAAGCTTTCTCTTATCTTAACAAATACCTGGTTAAGTTACTTTCATATGTAAAAATTGCAATGACTAAAAATAACCATAATCTTCCAATTAGAATACTAGAAAGCTAGATTTTTATTCCAACAAATAATATGGCTATTGAAATAGCAGTTATAATTGTAAAGTTAATTTTTATGCTTGTTAGAACAGGAAAGAGTGACATGGCATTTATTGCTAATATTTGCTGCGTCACTCAAATACGTAGCTATGTTGGTAGATGACTTATACTGACATTGCCTCCATAATGCATAAATCTATGACTGTAAAATAAAAGCATTTATTGCTTTTAAATAGCAAAGAAATAGATATTATGAATGTGTTAGTTGTCCTCCAAAATCCTGAGTTGTTTCAATTTTAAATGTTTCTAAGATATAAAAATATATAATAAAAAAAAAGGATAGCCATTGCTAGCGACATTGTCAACAAGGGGTAACAAAATAGATCCTATGCTATTCACTGATAACATAGCTTTTTAATAATAATTTTTTTAATTGGTTCAGTAGTTTTTGAGTTATTTCAATACATGCAAACATACACATCTTATTAAGAATATTAGTATGTATAGATTTTATTGGTTCCCTAGTATAGTCTCAGAAACTACTAGACCAATTTCAGAAATTCTTTTCCCATTAGAAAGCTAAATTACCATAGATCACGGAATCACTGTATAATAGGCACATCAACAGGTAAGGTATGGATATGACAGAAAAGATATGAGATGTGTATTCTTTGCCACCCAGACAAAGCTCGAATAAGTAGCTAGAATACAATAATTTCATTATTTAGTAAACTATATGAACTTTGTTGATATTTATGAATAACAATGGCTTATGATTTAACTTAGGAAAGGCCTAAATATATCTTCATTTTATAAGATCACTAAACATTATGTTTTGCTTTATTGAGCTACTTATATATATTTTTTACAAGCCTAGGTTAAGTTAAGTTCCTGTGTGTGAGTGTGTGAGGTTGCATTACCTTGATGCTATAAATTAAATTCTATTAAATTAAATTCTATAGATGGTTTTCTTTCCTTTTTCCAGGTTTAGTCAAAAGGAAAATGCTTGTGTTAGATCTTGATGAAACACTAATACATTCACATCATGATGCAATGCTGCGGCCGACGGTTAAACCCGGGACTCCCCCTGACTTTGTGCTTAAAGTCACCATAGACAAGCATCCAGTCAGATTCTTTGTTCATAAAAGGCCGCATGTCGACTACTTTTTAGATATAGTAAGTAAATAATATATGTTAAATACCATAAACCATGGGAGCGTCAGTGGCTCAGTGGTTTAAGCACTTGACTTGTAATCTACAGGTCTTCGGTTCGAATCCTGCCATGTACCAATGTGATTTTCGATTTTTCGAATTTTCATATGTACATAATTTACCCGACGTTCTTACGGTGAAGGAAAACATCGTGATGCAACCTGCACATATCAACGAAGAAATTCAAAGATATGTGTGAAGTCAACCAACGCGCAGTGAGCCAGCGTGCATGGTTGACTATGGCCTAGTCATCCCAATTATACAAATATACAAATCTTTATTATAATATTAAGTAAATAATGATAAGCATACATTGCCATTAAAAAAATTATTAAATAACAATTACTTTTAATTCAAATCCAATTTTATTTTGCTGGTCTTGGGTTTGAGTCTGGCCATGTACCAATGTTTTGTTGAATTTCGTATGTAAAGTGACTGAACATATTAATGGTGAAGGAAAGTGTGTTATTTTCGAAGAAATTTAAAGATATTCGTGAAACCTGCAATGCAGCATGATTGTCTATGGCCTAGTCCCCTCTAGCATAGGGTTGGCTCCTTTCTGTGAGGACATAGCTGATGATTAACAGCTTTGTTTCTGCATAATGTTCCAGGTGTCTCAATGGTATGAGCTGGTGGTGTTTACAGCATCAATGGAGATATATGGTGCGGCGGTGGCAGACAAACTAGACAACGGACGGGGAATACTGCGGCGACGGTTTTACAGGTAGCTAAGGACTTTTGGTTTTGTCAGTCTTTAAACTGAGATGCGAATTTACATTCATTCTTAATTATTTCTTACATTACATACATTTTTAAAGCTTAGGAATTACAGATTTCAATGCAATATCATTTTTTTTGAACTGTGTTTACTGTTTTTTTTTATCAAAATTTTAGTGTAATTATATTGTTAACGTAATATTTTGATATTTGCAGACAACACTGCACGCCGGAGCACGGCTCCTACACAAAGAACTTGTCGTCAATATGTGACGACCTAAACAGGGTGTTCATACTGGACAACTCACCGGGTGCTTATCGGGACTTTCCAGGTAAAATTTACAAGTCTAACTTCTTAGTTCGATTTTATTGTATACAACTAAGTATTTTATGATAAAGCCTTTTTTATAGCTTTTGAAGTACTATTTCTTTGAGCAATACCACTTTTTAATTTAGACTTTATAGTTATCTAGTGATAACTATACAAAATCTACATGTCAGCTACTTATCTTTCTTTGCTATATAAAAGAATGTTTGTGTTTCCAGATAATGCGATACCAATAAAGTCGTGGTTCTCGGACCCGCTGGACGTGGCGCTGCTGAACCTGCTGCCGGTGCTGGACGCGCTGCGCTTCACGCACGACGTGCGCTCCGTGCTCTCGCGCAACCTGCACCTCAACCGCCTCTGGTATCCGCAGGTCAGTTTGACTACTGACAATCATTGCCAAATACTGATATACATTGCCAACTATTGATATGTATTGCCTACTACTGACAGAGATTGCCAAGTACTGATATACATAGCAAAATACTGATATACATTGCCAACTACTGACAAAGATAGCCAACTGCATACATTGCCTACTATTGACAATGATTGCCAACTACTGTTATACATAGGCTACTACTGACTAAAGATAGCAAAATACTAATATACATTACCAAATACTGACTAGGATAGCCAACTACTGTCCGTGCTATTGCCAACTATTGCTGATTATCGCAAATTGCTGCCCGCTATTGCCAATTACTGATTATTATTGCCGATTACTGCGAAGTATTTCCGAATACTCCCAATTATTGCCATTTACTGTCAATGTTATAAGTGCTAACTTTAGTGTCCTACATTAGCAAGCCCAAGGGACTTAAGTTAACATAAGCTTTTTGACTAACCTATCTTGTTAAACCATATGCAGATAGAATATATAGAAAATGTGGTTATAGCGACTTATTTAGTCGTAAAATAATAAGAATGAATTTAAATTTCTCTTTTCTTCTCTTACAGATATAAACCGGCTTTTGTACAAATTGTGGCGCAGCGACAGCGCCGGAACTTATTTATTTTGTCACTTGTTAGGACCCCAGCTTCTATTCAAATATACATATAGAGATAACGTAGATAAAAGGGTTTAAAAGTTTTGTTTTTTATATATAAAATGTGATTAGATTACATAGAGTATGTAGCCTACTGGAGTAGAGGGACTTTGTGGTAACGAGTGACTGCGTCTCTTTCATCGCCGATGAGTGAGATAGACGTATATGTTGTGTTTCAAACTCGTGAGGTAATCAAGATGGCGACCGGGAAATGTCAAGTCATATTTTCCCGCGTAATTAACTGACGTTTGTAAATGTTTAAATTAGTATAGTTAATTATTGTTAATTTGAGTAACATTTTTGTGTGAATCCACTGCCCGTTTAATTTGGTATTTAAAATTATGTTTGATGTAACTGAAGCAGATTTTTTTTTATTTTTTAAAATAACCTTTTTTTTATTAAATTTTAAGTGATTTACAATTGGTTTTATACCTATTATTTTTGTAATGATTCAATAACAAAAGGGTTTTTTCTTTTTTTTTTTTCAAGGTAAAGTATCAAGTGCAAATTGGTAGATGAAATAAATTTTCGCTTTGTTCTATAAAAATTATTTTCTTTGGATTTCACTAAATTGAAATAAAACGGGAACTGTAAAGTTTTGTCATGTTTATGGTGGTTTAAAAAATGGACAATATGAAAAAAAAACTCGAACCTTCAATTTTCATATTTACTTATCAGGCATTTGTATACCAACACTGCCAAGTAAAACCACTAAAGACAAAAAATAAAAAAATCGCAAAATATTATTTTTTTGTATATTTCCCTTTATAGTTGTCCTTAACATTTATGTTACAGTCATACTTTTTAATATTGAATTAATTTCTATAAAACTTAATACCATTAGGTCATGTAAATATAATTTTAATTGTCGATTTGCCGGAATTTTTAATGATTGTGTTTTTACCAACAAATTGAATAAAGGAGGCAAATCGCTTTGATAATACCATTTATTTTAAGGCAAATGCGCTGTGAATAAATACAGGCCTACATTACGACGGTAAAAAATCTTGACAGAAGATAAATGTGTAAAAAAAATGGGGAACTTGATTGTCATATGTCGCAGAAATTTAATTGATATATCGCGCGCATATCTTTGACTAAACTATCGCACAACTGTTTACTCGCGCTTTGATTCCTATGAGCTTATATGGGTGCACACTCGATTTTTAGTTGTGCAACTAAACAGTTGAATTGGCTGCGAAACAATCGACAATCGCACAACAGTTGTGGGATAGTTTTGTCAAAGGAGTGCGCCCGCAATTATAATTGGTTAAAGATACAATTGTAAAGGAAAGTAAAATTACATCAAAAAAATTGTTGCCAATTTTTTCTTGCATTGTTTTTTTTTTCACTTTTTAATATTTCACAATGTCAAGGTACCGTCGTAAGGCGCCTGATTTATGACAAAACAGTAGTAATACTAGAACTATCACGTACAAAATAATCTTAATATATTGATTTTCTGTCTGCTCGTGGAAGTTGGTATAGCTTATCGAGTGACGTGGATTAAGAGAAAAGGAAACCGCTTGTTTAATTCAAAACAAAAAATCAATGTTTTTTTTTTGTATGCATTCATAGATTAAAAATTAATTTAATTTATTTGTTTCATACTTTGTGGTAAATAAAAAAATGAAATCTTGAATTTTCATTTATATCGGAACGGAAATTTTTTTTTAAGATTTTTCGTTCTTAGCAAAAATACACATAAGCAGACTTCGATCAATTTGAAGAATATGATAATGATTAAATGTTTGCAAATTTATGCGCCCGTTAATTTTGAACTCCTCTCTAATCGCGAATTAAATATCAATTTTATAAGGAACGACAGGGTTGAGATTTTAAGTTTTGTTTTTCAATAACTGGCTGAATTACCGTTCACAGAGCAGACAATAAGAAATATAAATTGTTAAATTGTTAGTAGTTTTGACTCCGAATTCCATTGCAATATTGATATACGTGTTCTTGTGTGCGTATAACAGACAATTAGAACGCTCGATATCACGCATACAAACTTATCGACCAATCACGGCACGTTTTGAGACGAAATAATCTAAACTTTCATAGTCAATCAGTTTTTTTTTTAGTAATCAAGAAAAAATATTTTTTGGTTATATTTTCGAAGTCAAAAAATTTTTTTTTAAAATACTCACGTTTTTTTATTGAAGAATTTTATGTCGTGATTAAATTTTTTTGATTTGGTATACAAAATTATATTTGGACTTATTTCTGCAGTCAGTTTAATAAATTTGTATGCTATTTAATTATTCGACTTAGTTGAAACTGTCTATGGATTTTGCGAGAAATGTACAGAAAGTGTATCTTAAACCAAATAGTTAAAATACGTAGTTTTTTAAAAATGATGTAGTTATTGTTACTCGTCGGCTGGCTCTGAACTGATAGTTAACCTCCAAGTATTACTAAAATACAGTATTCGGTGGATAGTTCCAAGCTTATATTTTTTTGTATCCTTTTCAGCACTTAGACCCTTTTTCCACTTGGCAGATAGCCGTGCGGCTAGCGACTGAATGGAAAAAGACACTTAGCTTGGTCTCAGTTCAGCAGTTTTGTCTATAAAGGTGTATTCAGACGAAAACAAGACTTGTAACAGATTGTATAATTATCATAATATCAAGAAAAAACAACTTTTAAAGTGTTCAATAATTTTCGTCTGAATATACCTTTAAAATATTTCGTAAATTGTGAGCGAATTAACTCACATTTTAGGAATTTTCTACTGTTTTTGTATAGGGTTTGTAATTTTAGCGTGAGGAGCGTAGCATCGTCATTTCTTCTAGGTATACTAAATTTTTGTACGTTTTGAAACACGCTGTATATAAATACTGAATGGTATAAAAGGTGTAACATTTTATCATTGTACAGTCATTTTATAGTATCAAGTAAAAGTAAACATTTGTTAGAAGAAATGTGTATTGAATTAATATTATTTGAAAATGTTTTTGTAAGACGGTGTTACGTAGTGCTAAATTTTACGTACATGTAAATCTACCTTTAATTATATTTACAGAGAAACATTATGTTAATTTCTCTGATTGTAAATAGTCTTATCAAGTGTAAAATCTTTAAAACAAGTGATTCATTTACAAAATGAGATTAAAACGTACTTCTTGCAATACAACGGGTTACACATTTATCATGCGAGCTTCATCTACGATTTTTTTTTGAAGAATTTGTATGCTGAATTTCCACCGGCAAAACTCCAGTAAAAATAATCGTACAGGTGTTGGAGTGGAAATGCAGTTTAAGAGTATAAAAATATCTGATCAATTTATCTGTAAAGTGACAGACTACAGTCGTTTTTTTTTTTTCAAATGATTGCTATATTTTCCGCCAATCAGCTGGCTGTAATATCGAAAGTGGCGACACCTATCACTTTACAGATATTTATGTCGGTATATATCTATGGTATTGTCATTAAAAAGTATAAGGGCCTGTCCCACCACTGGCTGAGAGGTTCGACATCTTAAAAATGACGTGAATGTTAGATAAGGAAACAAAATCCGATCTTTCCATCGCATATTTTACATCTTGGTTATCAGACAATTTACAATTTGGTGGGACAGGCCCTAAAAATGATGAAAACATACTCCCAAATATTGGACATGTGTATAAATAAGAAAATGTTCACACAATGCATAGCACAATGTAAAAAAATTATATTTTTTTATTCATCCATGATTATCCTTATGTTTCTTTATTTATGCATAACTATAGACGATGTGATTTATGCGTTTAATGATTTATCTCAATTAGAACTAATTGAAATTAAGGCAATTTCAAATATCTTAAACATTTTCACTATTGTTTAGTAGCAAGTTACTTGTGAATCAACCTGTAAAACATTGACGTATAGGACATAGTCAATCAGCATAACAAATAAACGCGGCATACTGAGTATAAGCAAATATTAGTACAAATTTTACTTATACTCTGTTTATTTCCAAGTTTAACTTTATACCTCGTTTATTTGTAAAGCTAAATATGTTTAAATGTACATAATTTTATATTTTTAATAATTCAAGATATTTTTTGTATAATTTTAAAGAACTGTCTTATAACACTTAATTATCTTTATTTAATGAATTTATGCTTTGAGCGAGAAAATATTTATAATTTATTAACTTCTAATAAAATTCTGACAAATTTCAAGTTGCTGTTTATATTTGAAATTGCCTTGACCATTAGTTTTCTGTGAATTAGAACCAATGTAACGACACCGGCTACTTGTTTCGAGATAAAGAAATTGTTAAACAATTTTATGGTCTCGTGATGATCAAAGTTCAAAACGATTTGTAAAATAGCAATATTAAATCGATTTTAAAACTATGTTGTTTTCTTTCATTTTGTTTTAATGAAACTCGTCTTGTTTTTCCTTGGAATTCACGAAAAAGTTATTCGTAATCACATGCTGTTAGAACATCATCATCACCAGCTCACTTTACGTCCCTACGGAGTTGCTCCCTAAGTTAGGGTGTGACTAGGCCTTATTGGCCATGTTTTGGTTGATTACACACATATCTTTGAATTAATTCGCCGATATGTGCAGGTTGTATGAAGATGTTTTTCTTCGTCGTAAGAACGTAGGGTAAATAATGTACATATGAAAATTCGAAAAACCGAAAATCACATTGGTACATGGCGGGATTTGAACCCATGACCTTCGAGATTACAAGTTAAGTGCTTTCTTTAACCACTAGCCACCGACGCTCAGAAAATCAGTGAAAGTTAAACATTAGGTCTTTTAAGACTTATGTTTGTTGAATATGACCATATTCATATTCTTTGTTGAAAGTAAAAAGGCAATTAAAACAACTGAATTACGTCATCAAACCTTTAATTTCAATAATCTGTTTAATTTCATTTAATGTTTTCTATGATAATTGTTCACAAAATCACATTTTTAGATTGTCTACAAACATTTAATGAAGGCTTTTTATTAAAGCAATGTCTTCCTAATAGTTATACATTTCCTGCCAAATAATGTAAAGTGTAGGCCATACATGTTTTGCAAGCATCAGGGCACATTTAAAAAATAATGAGGGAGCACAACTCCAGTTTGGCGTTTTATTTATGAAGAAAAAAACATTTTAAATTACTCTCAGTAAACAAAAATTGTGTGCATTATGAATGGAAAACAAAAATTTTAATAATAAATAGTTTGTGATGAAAGTAACAATGAAAATTATGAATTCAAGATGTAACTTTTTTTTCTTTTTGTATTTTTAGGAATCTGGTGAATAAGATGGATTTTCACAAAGTTAAAACACAATTAATCTATGACAAAGATCTTGTCAAAGAGTAATTGTTTCATTGCAAAATATTTTATTTCTTAAATGAATTATGTTTTAAGCATATTTTAATCTAATTAAATCATGGATTACTTCATATATACACAAACTATGTATCTCAAACAAAACATTGATGTTGGACACAACCTGTTTTATTTATGTACACAAAATAGGCTTACTAAGTTAATTATTGCTCACTGGACTCCCAGGTGGGGTATTTTGTTTATCAAAATTATTCCTTACTATAAAAATTACGATTTCTAAAACAAGTAACACATGCTGGTGAAAAGTTAAGAATTTATAAAATATAAAACATGTGACTTCAAAATCTTATCAGAAATAAAGGTATACAATGAGTAAAATTTAACTGGACAAAGGTATTTCCAACCTTATAAAAATAGTATTTTCAAAGTCCTTAAAATCAAGCAATATAATTCTCAAATACCACTTTTTCATGTTTTATTGCAACAAACTGTCATTATAATCTTTTGTCATCATCTCTTTGAGATGACTCATCATAAATATCTATATAAAGAAAAAAATCGATTGCTTTTACGAGCATTTTTCAAGTCAAATAAGTAGATAGAACTGAAAACATGTAATGGAAAACTTATACATAGTCCATTGTAGGGGAAGGAGCAACAGACAAATTTACCAATATCAGGTAATGTAACCTGTAATTACGGTCATACAACTACTATACTATATTTTATAGTCATAGTATCCAATTCAAGAATATATCACAAACAGTTTGTACAGGTAAATTTCTAAATTTGTGATGTTACTAAAATTTATTCTCTATAATCATTTGAATGACACAGTCAAACGTTTAAAACTTATTTAAAAATAATCTTCCCAAATAAGTCGCTATAAAACTAGAAAGGGTCTACGCAACATCTTTAAAGGACTCATACTTCACATTACAACTGTACATGTTGATTGTTAACAATAGCCTTGAGTAAATCAAATTTACGAAACGGAAAATGCTTTTTCTGAAAAAGATTTTACATAAGCCTCATGTAACTTGTTAACAAAATCTGCATCATGTTTAAGAAGATAGTTGAATGCTTGAAGTAGTTGATTCCTAGTCAAAGGTTCGGGTGATGGCTGGACATCTCCTCCCGTGGTAACGGTAAACATTGTTGGTGGCATCAGAGCTGGCTTCTGCTGAGCAGCTAGAGGATTACCCAATGGAAACATTCCCACTTCTTCAAATTTACCATTAAAAGAGCTTACCGGGTGGCCGAGGTCCTGTGATTGATTCAAATATGAAGCCAATGGGGAGGTCGGCTTGGGTGATGAAATATGCATAAGATTTAATTCACTCTCTAAAGGATTGGGGCCATTGGCATCCACTGTATCTAAAGGCATCTTCTGCATATTGGATATCCTTTGTTGGCCTTGTGAGTCAATTGGTGTGGATTTTAGCGGAAATCCACTATTCTGCCTCATTGCAGTGTCCAAAGGAATGCCACCGTTAGCATTTTGATTCTCTTGTGGAGTGACAGACCTTTGTTGTTTCTCTATGTGCTCCACTGAGTGTGCAGGATTACTCATCAGCCTCTGCAGAAGCAATGGACCCTCGCGAGAATCGGACGGCCGCGGACCGAACACGCCTGGTGACGGAAGAGAAGACACTGCAGGCATTTGAGCAGCGGCGCCACTACCGGCCTTAGCGAAGAAATCCATCACGCTTTGCGACGTCATATCGGGAGCTCTAGACGGTGTCGATTCATTTTTGTTCGTTACACCTTTGTTAGATTTAAAATCATCTTGAGCTTTGCTCAGCATTGTAAATATATCAACAGGAGCACTAGAGTTAGCTGGTGCATTATATACAGGATTTTGTGCCATATTTTCAACCGGTTTCATCGAATCTTTAACGATAGAATTTAATTTTGTAGCCACCCTAACACACTCGTCTTTATCGTAAAACCATATGCCGTAAATACGACACTTAGAATTCCTATAAAGCAGGAAAGGCTCCTTTAATTGTAACTCTATTCCTTTCGATACTGGTTCAATTAAATTATTCGTATTCAATCTGTTCATAATTACCAAACTATGATACGGTTCACCATTTCTACTGTACACAAACAATGCGCCTTCGATGTTAGTTTTCTCCCATTCTTGTTCTTCGAATGTATACAGAGCAACGTGGGTAGCACTATCTATTATTTCCCGCGCATATGGATCTGCCCTCTTTAAAGCTGCAAAATTCATACGTAGTCCGGTGTCAGCCATTTTTTCGCAGCAAAAAGTACTTTTTACACAACGAGCATCACAATAAAATGACAAGAATCAAGAATAAGTTAATCGCCATGTTTGTTAACGTTCCAATTTCTGTATAGAAATCATAGAGCATCTAAAACATCAAGCAAATGTAATAAAATTGCTAAAAATCAGAAGGTACTTTTAAACTGATTATTAAAAAAACAATTGGTGTGACTGTTATAACTTCTGTTATTTCAATGTAATTTTAAACAATAATCGTTTTGTACGCAAATAAATTTCAACATACGATATTCAGTATTTACTCTAAATTAACTAGATCAAAGCATGCTAAATACTAAGACTCGGACTCATTGTGGTAACATAACAATTTCCTTGCTAGAGGAGAGAAAAGTAGGTTTTTTTATTCAAGACGGTGGTTTTATTTGCATTTTTATCCATTACTTATCTTTGTCACGTACTATAACAATTAGTATATTTTTTAAAAAATCTTTCTCATCAAGAAATTACATACAATACGCATAAGTTGTATTTGATACTTAAGCTTGTTATCAAGAAAATTACTATAAATTGCGTCAGATGTTAACTTAATTATCGTTATCAATTTTATTTTGCTTATTGCACTGTGTCAGTTGACAGCGAATGTCGAATGTATTCAGATGACACATGGCACAAACATCAAACAAGTTAAAGTGGCATTTAAAACTTTTATTAACTTTTTCAACTTTATCAATTTAGTTTATTAAGTTTATATTGTATGTGTATTAGTTTTATATAGAAAATATATATTAAGTTTATGTGATCGAAAATTTTCAAGTACTATTTAACGTTTTTAATTATTACAAAAAGTATTTAACATGCCCGAAGCAAAAGTTTTAGTTATTGGTAGTGGAGGACGAGAACATGCACTTTGTTGGAAATTAGCGGACTCTCCATATGTAAAACAGATATATTGTGCACCCGGCAGTGTCGGCATTTCATCTGTGGACAAGGTTGAAAATCTCGATATCGACATCAAAGATTATCCAGTAAGTTTTAAAATAATTAAAATTACAATTCAAAGGATGTACAGTCCACAGCAGTATTACCTACAGCAGCATTTGCCCGCTCGAATGGTCCAATACCGTAACAACACAGAAAACCAGCATTAAATGGATGAAATCCAACATTTTGTCAAATTAGTAAGAGCCTGAGGCCAAATGCTAGTTCTTCTAGCATTCCGATCCTATTCTTATAAGAGAGGAAGCGGTACCAGCATTCCATACATCCCATATTGTACATTAAAGATCAATGCATATTGTTAAAGATGTTTTCGGGTACCAATTATTAAATTTTATAAAAATTGCCATTTACTGAAAGAAAATTTCATCTTTGTATTGCTGTAGAAATTTTTAATAATTTGTGAACAAGTTATAGTCATGACTTTCAATTATCGAATTTATTAAATTAGTTATGGAATATCTCACTTATTATTATAAAGTATTATGGTAATTGATGACCTTCTCTTAAAATATATGTACAGATTTGCTTTCGCCGAAATAAAAAACAAAGTAGCCTATGTGTTCTTCCAGACTATCCTCTAGATCTTATGCCAAATTTCATCAAGATCTGTTCAACCATTTATGCTACAGACTCTAACAAACATCCATCCATCTAAACATTTTCATTTATATATATATATATAATGAAACAGCTATGGACAGTGATCTTTGTCTTGAATTTATAAATAAAAATTTGTGTTCGTATTTTAAAGAATTGAATAATAGCAGAAATTTATCAATTCCATAAATTTTAAGAAAGCTATCACATTGATAGCCTTTGACCTGCTTTGTTCAAATTCGTTCATTTTAAACTTTTATCACAATTAATTGTATGAACCATTTTTGTGGAGAGAAATTACATATCTAAACTGATGTAAATATTTAAAATTAAACTTACATTAAAAATCCTTAACTTGTTTTTCTATCATTTAGTAACTGCTATGATTTATTTGAATTCATCTCTCTATAAGAAAAAAGTTATATACACATAATAGTTTCATAATCTCTTTTTAAATATGTGTTATTTCATTATCACATAAATAATCTGCTTATCTTTTGTTTTACCCTGTGAAAAAACTGACTGTAACATTTCTCAGGCAATAGGAAAATGGTGCAAAGAAAACTCAATAGATTTGGTTGTCATTGGTCCAGAAGACCCATTAGCCAATGGGATTGTAGATGCACTGGCCCCATTAGGCATACAGTGCTTCGGCCCCAAGAAAGCTGGTGCGGAGATTGAAGCCAATAAAAGCTGGTCAAAGAAATTCATGATGAAGTACCAGATACCTACAGCAAGGTTCCAGTCCTTTAATGATGCTGCTGCTGCTAAGGAGTTTATCAAAAGGTGTCTTAGTGTTTAATTAAGTCTACACAATCTTCATTTAGTATATGTCAACCATTTGCAAGGAATAAAAAAGACATTAGTTGACTATACTACTTGAATATCTATGCCATCATTCAGCTAGATCTGTTAAACTGTTTTGTAGAAGCAAGCTTTGGCATTTATAATATTAGTATGATTCTGTTTAATTCTGGTGGTAATGTTTTTAACATATCTGATTACTTTTTCCTTGTAGTGCTCCATACCCAGCATTAGTGGTGAAGGCATCAGGTCTAGCAGCTGGCAAGGGTGTGGTTGTGGCTTCCAGTAAAGAGGAAGCCTGCCTGGCAGTTGATGAGATATTGACAGATGCTAAGTATGGTTCTGCTGGACAGACGGTTGTGATCGAAGAATTGTTAGAAGGAGATGAAGTTTCCGTAAGTTATTTTTAACCGAGTTACTAAAACAAGGACGATATTAATTCATCTGTTTTTTCGTTTAGCATCTTGTATTGTTATATTTAAGGACTTTAAGGACTTCTCCCACCACTGGCTGATAGAGGCTTAGATAGCTAAAAAATGACGTCACTGTCAGTTAAGAGAACAAAATCTGATATTTCCATCACATGTTTTACATTGATTGTTATCGGACAATTTACAATTTGGTGGGACAGGCCCTAAGACTCACAGCAAATTAAAACTGGATTAAACCATAGTCAATGAATACTTTTTTAAAATTTGTCCGACCATTGTTTACTTTTAAATAGATTCTAATTACAATACCATTATGCCACTGTTGTTAATGTTTTCTTTCATCTTCGAGAATAGTTTATTTAAAAGAAAATTATGGAATCTTAGTTTAGTATATTGATATTTCATACATTTCTATTAATTGTTCATTTAATTATCATATGTTTTACTCGTAAACATATTGCGTCATCTCATATCTGTTATTCCAAACTACGTTTACCTCAAACTATCAATGTTTTTACACGACAAATATCTTAGGGCAACGTTATCCAGGGGTCAATCAAACTATGGCTTGACGACTCCGACCATTGGGGTCCTGGATAAGATTAAACAAAACAAGCTATTTTTGGAAATCTCTTTACCGTTAATTAGTTTTTTATGTTGCCATGACAACGGTCAACGGTCTGTATGTTTTTATAGTACCGATAAGTTTAATCTCTTATTTCAAGTAAATTATATATTATAATATATGGTTGGGGTTAACTTTATTAGTTCCTAACTGTTGCTTTCAGCTTCGTCTGAGTGTAATTAAAAAATAATAAAAACAGCCTTATTTACTCACTGAAAACGTAGCGTTTTAACAGTGAAAGAATTTTTTAAATCTGCCAAGTAATTTTTGAATTATCCAAATCTTTACTCTTTATAATATTAGCATAGATTTTAAACTTAATTCTTTCCAGGTGTTAGCTTTCACCGATGGCGAGACGGTATCCATGATGCCTCCAGCACAGGACCACAAGCGCGTTGGCGACGGCGACACGGGGCCTAATACGGGCGGAATGGGCGCCTACTGCCCTTGCCCGCTCATCACCAGGGACCAGCTCGCAGATGTACAGGACCAGGTGCTGCAGAGAGCTGTGGACGGTCTTAAGGCTGAGGGCATAAAATATGTTGGTAAGTAGAAAACATTCTTTTTTCATTAGGTGCTTAGCATTGTTATTGTTGCATTTTAATTATTTGATTGGTCACTAAGATCCTATGTATTATTTAAGCTAAGTCGACACTAAAGGGTACCTAAGTTAGGACTATACAAATTAGCGAGGGGCTCACTTAACACGGCATATGTCATTGCTTGTCAATGATTCATGGTTCAACACAGTACATATAGATAAAATTTCTGTATTTACCGAGGCAGACATTAAAAAAAATAATAAAAAAGAAAGTTTCCAGTCGTGAAAAGAATGCATCTTCAATGACATTCGGCAGTTCGTTATCGCATCGTAAAATATTCCGTTGTTTGTTAATTTTTACATCGCTTATTACGTTATTTTGTATTATCTGTGGCTTACAAAAGGTCAGCTGTTTGATTCGCAACCCTAGCGTTGTGTTGCCAACATACGTATTTATTATTTTATTTGTTTGTCCGTATGCTTGATTAGATCTAACCTATAGGGCTTTGTTTTTCATGATTTGTTTAATTATAGCTTAGCCTTATCGTATTTTTTGTATATGAGATTATATTTAATAAAAACAGGTAGTCTATAAATGCGATGTTTTGTTTAAATCATTATAAAATTAGTTGATATACATTTGTTTTTAATGTTCACGCGATAATTCAATACAGATAGAATTTTCTGGAACAAAATCCGATCGAAGATATTTAAAATCGAACATTTCTGAAACTACGTAATGTCTGGCATATATGATCTTACTTCTTACTAATATTACGAATATGAAAGTTTAGATGGATGGATGTTTGTTGGAGTTTGTAGCTTACAGCTGAACGGATCTGGATGAAATTTGGCATAGACGTAGGTGATAATCTGGAAGAACACATTGACTACTTTTGGTTTTTTTTTATTTCCACGCGAACGGAGTAGTGGGCGAAAGCTAGTACGCTATAAACTACGGCAAAAGATCTATCAAGCCAGTTGCAAATATATCAAAATAATAAAATGATATAGGGTGTTTATCTTAGGCGAGTGCGTTCCACCTCTGACCCTTGCACGTACCATCGGCACGAGTTGGTCGTTAGCTGATAGCTATGCCCTTTATGTCAGTTGACACATGTCTCTAGGCGCTGTTTACATAAGTATTTTCAACATTAGCTCGCTATATGTGTCACAGCTTATGTATCCAGGGTTATGATTATAAATTGGTACGTTTATTACTGATGCCCACGACGCGAAACCGGCCCTTGCACAATCTGGTTTTAACGCCACCTGTGTTACTATAATCCAATAATCGATCTTTTTTTAACCAAAAACTTTAGATAAGCAAAAATGTTTCCAATTGGACTTTATAATGACTTATTATAGGAATTTCTTGGTACTACATTTCCCTTCTGTATGTGTATATTACACATGTTACACAGTTAAGTTTACCCTTGTGTATATGTATAACAACCCGGCCTGTGTTACCTTTTTGTGTATTTTCTTAGACCAGTTCAAACCGGTTTGATTTACCAAGCGCACCTTATCGCTGTAGGTATCTTTCTCTCTTAATTTAACGATTATTTATGAAAGTAGATATAATAATGGTAATGTGGAGAAACTTACAGACTTAATTTAGTTAGTAATAAACCTTTATATAAACACAAATATAAAGGTATTATTTAATACTAGCTTACGCCAGCGACTCCGTCCCCGTAGAATTAATAAAAAAGCGAAACTAAGTAGCCTATGTTTTCTTCCAGACTATCCTCTACATCTATACCAAATTTCATCTAAATCCGTTCAGCAGTTTAGGCTACAAACTATAACAAACATCCATCCATCTAAACTTTCGCATTTTTAATATTAGTATGATTAGTATGAAATATGATTGTTAATACTTGCATTGGCGATGCCGACAATCTGGGCTCTCTGGAGAGTAACTACCATTAATATGGCCTTTTTCGTAGTAGTTTTTGTCTATTTTACATTTTTCGATTTTCTAGTGTCAACACTACCCTCCTCTCTGGCTACGCCCATGATATCTGCTTGTCTCTGTTTCGGTTGAAACTTTAACAACAGCGCCATCTAATTACCAAATTAGGAAACATTTTTCTAGTTCCATTAACATTCATAATTTCTAACTTTTATTATGCACTAATTAAGATCATGTGATATGCGGCGTAGAGCAGTATTAGCTAGTCAGTTATCACAACAGCGTCATACTCAGAGTCATCACACTTTGACCTCTTGTTTATCTCTTAAGTATACAACAGGGTCTATGTTCCTTAGGTTGTTCGGTTTAGGTATTTCATAGATATACTCGTATGCTTCAATGATCTTTGCCATCTTAGACTTGCAACCCTGGCTCCCGGGATATCCAAAATTTAAGGAAATTTTAACACAGGGGTTCAGAAATACGTTTATTAATGACTAGCTATTGCTCGCATCTTCGTCCGCGTGAAATTAAAAAATAAATAATAAAGTTAGCCTATGTTACTAACAGATTAATTACCTTTCAAACGGTGAAATAATTTTTCAAATCGGCCTAGTAATTTTTGAGTTATTTGAATACATACAAAAGTACAAATCTTTCCTCTTTATAATATTAGTATAGATTGCTAAACTGTAGTTAATGTATGTAAGTGATAATGTAGCTTTCTAATGATAAAGAAATATTTGAAATCGGTTCAGTTGTTTTGAAGCCCATTCAAATCTTTTCTTTTTCATATTTGTATAATAAAAGTCAAATGGACTATAGGATAATCTGTTGACTCCTCCTTTTTCTAAGAAAAATCTTTTTGGAAAATAGGACGTAAAACGTTTTCTTTATTAACTATATGAAAATTAATTTAATACAATATTGATAACCAATGCCACTAATAAGAAACAGCGATACAAGATAAATCGAAGTAAACATCAATATATATAAGCTATTGTAAAGTCAACTCAATTGCAATAACTTTAAGGATCATTTTCCTAATATCATGAAGATGTTCAAAGTGAGCAATAGACCAAAAAGTTGCGTCTGCGATGATAATTGTGACAAACAACTGAAGATCGTATGAACCAATGCCAAGGTTCAATGTCCCGTTCCGGGCATGGCAAAATGACGCAAAGTGTACATAAGCGTTAATTAAAATTTAATCTACAAATATGTTTTATTAGCAGTAAGACCTATCTTCCACTAATGCGACTAACGTCGCGACTATTCTATGTATAGTTGCGGAAATCCGTGGTGTTCTACTTAAAAAATTGCCTTGTTTATTGCAAAGAGACAAACGCCACCTCTTCCTACAAATAACTAATTAGATAACCAACGAAGGGATGATAAAAAAAAAACTAGCCGTGTATAACTAACCGAGTTTTTTTCGTACATATACATTTATAAGCTGCATTATATTCGTTTTTGTTCTGCGTCTTGTTTCAAAATGTTCCAACAATTATAGCTTTTGAGGGGCAACACCGCCAATTTCCCCGACTGTACATAAGTATTAGTTTCACTAAAATTGTACCTACTCTACGAGTCAAGAGTCACGTTAGGTGAAAAAGGTAACCACATTATATTATTACATCCACTATTTTTGAATAGATATAAACTGGAATCTGTTATACAAAGATAGCTAAAATTATAACGGTCAGATTCCACTGCTAATATCTCTGTAAAAACAGATTGTATAGAATAATATTTAGTGGAAGCCCATGACAAAGGTTATGCTGTATCATTTTTCAGTTTGTGTTTTGTACATAACAGTTATTTGTCCTCAGGTGTCCTGTACGCGGGTCTAATGATTACCAAATCAGGCCCTATGACCCTAGAGTTTAACTGCAGATTCGGAGACCCTGAGACTCAAGTTCTGATGATGTTGCTCGAAACGGACCTCTACACTATCATGAAGGTAATATCACGATGAGTTTTAGTTGGGTTAGCATGGTATAAGGGTCAGTTTCCATTTTCTAAACACTCCTAGTGTCAAAATAATGTGTCTTAGTGTGTTTTGGTAGTGGAAATTGACCCTAATTTTTAATAAGAATCAATTTTCGCAACTAAATCTTATATATTTTTATAGGCTTGTGTTAATGGCAACTTGAAACAACACCAAGTGACTTGGAACACGAAAATGAGTGCAGTCGGTGTTGTTATCGCTTCCAAAGGATATCCAGAAACTTCTACCAAAGGCTGCGTTATTAGTGGTAAGTAACAGAAATTAGTAAAATTGCTGTAACAAATAATTATACTTTTTTGACTTTTTTTCTATTCTTAGGCCCCATTTCTACTAGCATAGCATATAACTGCATAAACCTAGACTGCAAGAGATTATTATGTCTATAGTAACATTTCCACTAATTACCTTGACTAAACTTGTGCTAGTGGAAAGGCGTCTTATTATTGGTGTATTGGGGCATTGTAAATGTACAGTAGCGCAGACCTGGTTTGGATTCTAGCTCACTGTCGTCTATTAGTGGTTAAGTTATGCTAGTGTAGATTTTGGGTGTTACTAGCTTTAGTAAACTAGGTATTGGTGTGTAGTGACGTCACAGTGGTTTCTTACGTCAGGGCTGTCGCAAGTATCGTCGCAGCCAGGGCTGGCGGTGTTCCACAGCGGTGTGGCGCGAGGTGCTAACGGGTCGTTAGTGACGTGGGGAGGGCGCGTACTGTTGGTGGGTGCGCGTGCGCCGGCGCTGCGGGCGGCGGCGGCTGCGGCGACCGCAGCTGCTGCGGCTATAGACTTCCCAGGTGCACACTACCGGAAAGACATCGCACATCGTGCTTTCTCCAAGTAAGTGTTTAGTTTAACATTTTGTGTATTACTGGCATAACTTTCTGTTTCGTTTAGACAGTTAAATGTAATCACACTTCTTACTATGTTACTATCTTCTATTATAAATGCGAAAGTTTAGATGGATGTTTGTTAGAGTTTGTAGCCTAAACCACTGAACAGATTTCGATGGAATTTGGTATACATGTTTGGGTAGTCTGAAAGAACACATAGGCTTTTCATTTTTTTTAATTCCACGTGGACGGAGTTACGGGCGAAAGGTAGTCTAATACATTTTAATCCTTTTAAGAACTGTACGATTGAACGGTTAATAATATTTGGTCTGGTCTATCCATTCTGCATTGCTTTATTTATTTCTTCTCTTATTTCTATAATGGGTAACATCAGTCAGAGAGTAGGTCAAGGAGGGACAGGTACCACTCGTAGTATTTCTAAGTAGTTTTTATTATCTATTTTAAATGTTTTCTATTCTCTAAATCAGTAGAAGCATCTCACCTTTCGCTTAAAACGCATGTTTCCTATTTCTTATTGAATTTCTTTTGTCTTCTTATTTTCTTACTTCCTCTCTATTTTTGTTGTACTTGTTGTACTTTTTCGTAGTAGTAGTGCCGTGTTTGATCCTGTTATGTCGATTTGTTTCAGTGCGAAGTAACTCGACCAGGGAACGTGTTGCGATACAAAATAAATTTCACTATTGTTAACTTTGAACACTCTTTAATCATTCCAATTATCTTCGTTTTTCTTTCCAAATAAAATTTTTGGTTTATTCCTTTTTTGTTTTTGTTCCCTACCTTTGTTGCAAAAATCCATAAAACACGAAAGCACTTCCACTACATCAAAAAGAAAAAGGCCTTCAAAAATATAAATTCTTAACAAAGTCCAAACATTTGTATAGAATAGACTTAGAAATAAACACAAAGCTCCAATCGATGTATAAATCTGTACAAAGAAAGGGTGTAGTAAAACATATTTTTTATTGGACGCGCTCTTCAATTTATTTTTCTAAATTAATAGATATAAATCAGCTAAGAATACGTAGGTAATAAAAAAGACGAATTAAATAAATAGTGTAAACACTACATCAGGTAGCCATTAGCTATAAGAAAAGAATTAAAATCTATAGATTCCACTGACCTTAAAATGGACCAATTAGATCTCTAGTAATGATTAGGTGTATTCTAGCAGTTGACCATAAAATAGAAGCGTCTAACGCGCTGAAGTACTGCTGTGGATTTATTCTTTACTAGCTTTTGCTCGCGACTCCGTCCGCGTGGAAAAAAAAAGTAAGTAGCCTATGTGTTATTCCATTTTATCCTCTACATCTATACCTAATTTTATCGAAATCCGTTCAGCCGCTTAGGCTACAAACTCTAACAAACATCGATCCATCCATCTAAACTTTCACATTCATGATATTAGTATGATTGTACGGGTATTAAAGCTTTATTAGATTTAGTAGTAAATAGAATTTTATTCATCAGACTAAATGGCCTATCGTACTTGGAGAGTGGCGTGGACATAGACGCGGCTGCGACACTAGTTCGTCAGATAGAGCCGCTGGCGACGGCGACGCACCGCCGCGGCGTGCTCGGCCGCCTCGGCTGCTATAGCGGCCTGTTCCAGCTCTCCGCTATGGACCCCCGCCTTAAAGACCCTGTACTCGTACAGGGGACTGACGGCGTTGGCACCAAGCTCAAGGTAACTGAAAAAGCTAGTAGTCATCTCCCCGTCCTTATCCTGCCTACTTGTAAGCTCCCAGTTTTTGTTTTTCAGGTTAATTTATCTTCCGTCATCTCAGTCACTTCACGCAATCTCTTTCAATTCCTACCCCTACACTGATCGACAGTGTAGTCTTTCTATTTTTAAGAAAACTAAACTCCTTTAAAATTTAATTTTCTTTTCCACTAAGTGATTTGCTGCATGCGAATGAGAAAGCGTTACGCCTATTTCGAAAAGGAATACCGGCAATGCCTCGAATGTGCATAGAAATGTTCTGTTACAATAGCCGAGTTTTGAGAAATACAATAGTTTTGACAAAAGTTTTTAATTTAATACATTGTATATACAATATTTGTCTCAAGGTTGCACAAACTATGAAGAAGTTCGACACGCTCGGTCAGGATCTAGTGGCGATGTGTGTGAACGACATTTTATGCGCGGGCGCGGAGCCTTTCGCGTTCCTCGACTACATGGCGTGCGGCAGGCTGCAGGTCGACGTCGCTACTACTATCGTGAAGGGCATCGCTGATGCTTGTATCTTGTCTGGATGCGCATTGTTAGGTTAGTGACGTCATAAATCGATGTGTTAGGTTAGGTGTTAGGTTAGAATTTTTCGAATTTTAAAATTTCACTGGTATTTATGTTCATTTTGTATATACTATACTTACAACTGTTTAAAAATTTGTCACTGTGTGATGATTACTTTTTTATAGTCTAAAGTACCTGTGTATTTTTTTTAATTTTTCTTCATAAGCAATTTTGCTACGACGAAGTGAAACCCGTCTATAAATAGTACCTCTTTATGTCTGGCGCCTGGCGCGCTAATCTAATACGTCTGACATTGACAACTGTCATAGGGAAGGGACGTATATGCCAATGATCTAGTATTTTACTGATTTTTTTTTAACAGTATTTATCTCATTTGTCTCATTGTAAGCGAAACATTGTGTTTTTTCCAATCCTGTAATAATAACGAAGTAACTGCTCTAGCTGAGACTCCTGAGAGCCCTCGAGCTTAGTTACTCATAAACGAGGTATAGGCTAAGCGCCTTGTGCTCATCCACCTCAAGCCCGGCGAATCTGTAAATGCCTTATCAAGGTAAACAATGGCAACTCAGTCACAAAAAATGTTTATATATCTTTAAATGACTAGGGGGTGAGACAGCGGAGATGCCGAGTATGTATGAAGTAGGTAAGTATGACTTGGCGGGGTTCGCGGTGGGCGTGGTGGACGCGGGCGCGCAGCTGCCGCGCTCCAGCAGCCTGCGGCCCGGGGACGTGGTGCTGGGGCTGCCCTCCACAGGCCCGCACAGCAACGGATACAGCCTTGTGCATAGGATCGTCAGCGACTCACGACATAGGTACACTTTAGGAAAACGACACAAATACATTTTTATATTCTATACCAGAGGTTACCAACCATTGGCACGCGTAAAAAAATATACTACAAAAATACCACAAGACAATATTTTGGGCACGTCGATAATCACAAGAACACTACGAAAATATTATAAAGTAGATGCATATGGAATTGACGTTAATCGCAGTCAAAATTATACTTTTTAAAAAATGCCACTCATATGCATAAATGTTGGCCACCCTTAATCTATGCTATAATATTATAAAGAGGATTTTTTTTTGTGTGTATCGAAGTAACTCAAAAACTACTGGGCCGATTTCAAAAATTCTTTCACCGTTAAAAAGGTAATTTATCTGTTAGTGACATAGACTATATTTTTTAGTTCCACGCATGCGAAGTCCCGAGCAACAGTTAGTTCTATAAAAACATTCATACATCCTATAAGCAAGCATGGATCGATGTTTTAACATTTAATGCAATGTTTTAAGAATAATTCGTTTTCAAGATATCGTAATTATTCTTTTTAATTCCTCAGTTACCACGAAAAAGCACCATTTTCGACAACAAACAAGACATTCGGTGAAGAATTGTTGGAACCAACAGCGATTTACGTGAAGACATTACTACCAGCGGTCAAGAAGGGTGTTATAAAAGGGCTCGCCCACATCACCGGCGGCGGACTGCTCGAGAACATTCCCCGGATACTGCCGCCTGATGTCAAAGTTAAATTAGACGCTACCAAGTTCAGAATAAAGCCGGTATTCGGTTGGCTGCAAGCTAAAGGTAATACATGATAAATGTAAGTTTAGATGGATGGATGTTCGTTAGAGTTTGAAGCCAAAATGCTGTACGAATCTCGAGTAGATTTGTCATAAATGTAGAGGATAGTCTGGAAGAATACGTAGGCTAATTCTGCAATGGTTCAACGTATCTTATTGAAATGTGCCACAGTTGTGAAAAGTTTGTAAAATACATGGGATAAAGTTCATCCCCGAAATATGTTAAGTTCCCGAGGGATACGTAGATTTTTGTTTGTTTAATATGGCGCGGACGAAATCGCGGACAACAGTTTTATTATAAGTATAGATATAGATAGATTAATGTAAAAAAAAACTCCAATCTTAACTCATATAGTGTCAAAAATGGAATCCATTTTTTGTTTTTATTGTGCTGGGCTGCCACCCTCTTGTTATACTTTGATGCTGAAGGGCCTTAGCTACTTTATTTAATAAATCAGTCAATTTTCAAATATTTTTTACAGGTATGGTTTCTGATTTCGAAATGTTGCGTACCTTCAACTGCGGCGTGGGCATGGTGGTGATAGTGGCGGCCGCGGACGTCGACACTCTGCTGGCGATGGTGGAGGACCCCATTGACGTCATAGGTGTTGTGGAGGCTATGGGAAAAGAAGGTAATATATTTATGAATAAATGTTACAAAAAAAACAATTAAGTTTGCTATATACGGTCAGTTGAGACAGTTTCATTTGAACAATCGATTTTTTTTAGTTAAAATTGTGTACGGATCTTTAGTATGATTGATTTATGTTTTTATACTAAATTTGTTTTAATGATCGACTAAATACTGAATTAGTAGAAATTTGGTGAAGATTTTAATTTTGTTTAGTTGGTTTATTTTTCTTTTTAATTGTTTACGTCAGCGAAAGCCGAGTTTGATAAAACAGTTTATTTATAGTATGAGGAGGCGAGAGAGACACGTCTGTGTCAAACCATAATCTCTGCCTACCCCTTAGGATGTGGGTCGATTGTGTTGTACAATCAGGGAATCTAGCAGTGGGCCACCTTGAAATTACAGATAAGCAATAAGACGCAGTCTTTAAATGTATCTACAATTTATACTAATATAATAAACCGTAAATACACTACTTTGTGGCGTAGGATGTCAGCAAACAGCATGTTATTGAATAATTCCTTCTTCAATAAAAAGCCCTACAGTTATGACACGCTTTAAACTATATGTTTTAAGCTGTTAAACTTGAGGGGTAAATAAATTGGAAAAACACCTTCATATGGAAAAGGGACCATAAACTACAAGCTGACAACATCTAGGAAGCAAGCTTTCCATGGTAACGGTTATTGGGAAATGTTAAAGACCTTCGTTGTCATTCGTGCGTTTAAATTTGCGATTGAGATTTTGACAAATGTAAACAGTAAAATATAGTTTTTATACGGCTAATTCCTTTTAATTACCACGTCATTACACCTGCTACCTAAACCCTGAAAGACGTTTGTTGTATCGAATAATGTATTTGTGTAAGTGTTTCACCGCGTGTTTCCCCGACTGTACATCGTGCAGGCGGGCACCAGGTGGTGGTGGAGCGGTTCCCGGAGGCGATGTGCGGGCTGCGCGCGCCGTACGCGGACGCGCCGCCGGTGCAGAAGCCCCTCAGTTACAAAGACAGCGGCGTGGATATTGAAGCTGGAGACTCGCTTGTATCGCTTATCAAACCACTTGCAAGGTAACTGCTAATGCAAATATTAATATTTAAGGTGGGTGGGAATGGTCGTTTCGCCATTTTGGCGATTTTTTGTCACCTAATACTAAAAAAGCAAATTAATTGCACAGGGAGAGCTTTTTTAACAAATTTTAATAATAAAACTCTTGATTAAAAATTATTCTCGCATAGCAAGATTTTTTAGTATATAATTATTAAAAAACTTAAATAACTAGCTAGAACCCTGTGAATATAAAGTAAATTAACAAATATTAGATTAATTCGTCATGTCGGAGGAATACCCAGCAGAATTATAATTTAAAATGGCAAACGAGAAAATGAGCGACTGAATTCGCCAAAATAGCGAAGCGTCCTCAATACAAGTGGAAAACTAACTAATACGGTAAATTAAAATTTAAAAAATATTACTCCTTTCATTCTTTATAAAGCGTAAACAAGGTAAATGAACTAGAATGTGACCTGACTTACGAAATAAGGAACTTGACTTGACATCTTTTTATTGCAGATCAACAACTCGTTCAGGAGTGTTAGGTGGTCTCGGGGGATTCGGTGGTTGTTTCCAGTTGAAGGCCATAGAACACGAATATAAGGTAAAACTATATTACTAATTACTAGCTCTTTCCCGCAAATCCGTCCGTGAAAAATTAAAAATGTACCTACATATGTGCACTTCCAGCCTATCCTGTATGTCAATGACAAATTTCATTGTCATCCGTTCAGCCTTTTAGGCTACATATTTAACTAATATCCACCCATCTAAACTTTCGCATTTATAATATTAGTAAGATTGGTAAAAAGAATTCACTTTCTAAAATATTTTAGTGACTTATTACTTATTTTATTGTTTCAATTGTTTAGTGGTTTTTAAAGACTTTTTGACCATTTAATTACATTCAAAGCTACAGTAAATATTTACAATTATTTTTTCTATAGACAGTTGAAAATTTATCATTCTAAGAGCCTGTCGCACCAAATTGTAAATTGTCTCATAACAATCCAACGTGTAAAATATCGGATTTTGTTCCCTTATCTGACAGTGACGTTTTAAGCTATCTGAGCATCTATCAGCCATTAGGGGGACAATCCCTAAATATGTTTTACTTTATAGGACCCAGTACTAGTAGTGGCAGCTGACGGCGTAGGCACTAAGCTGCAGGTAGCCCAGCGCGCTAACAGACACGACACAATCGGTCTAGATCTAGTCGCGATGTGTCTCAACGACATCCTCTGTAACGGCGCTCGTCCTCTCACTTTCCTGGATTACTTCGCCTGTGGAGCTCTGGATGTGAATGTTGCTAGAAGAGTGGTAGCTGGGATTGCTGATGGTTGTCGACAAGCTAATGCTGCACTTATAGGTATGTTTACCTACAATGAAAATGTTTGCCTATAAATGATGTCGTATGTTTAGATTTTTACTTTCTGTAAAAGAATGTTTTCAATAGAGAAAAAATTCTAAAAATCCAATCTTTCCTCTCATTTGCTAAGTTTTAAAGATTAATTTTTAATTAAGATAGCTGATGCCTGTGACTTTGTCCATGCAATTTTAAGATAAAAAAGTAGCATATAATATGGTCGTCTATGTCAGCTACCCTTCTGTAAAAGTACGGTCGAAATCAGCCCAGCTGTTTCGGATATTTAACCATTGTATGTCTATACTAGATCTTGGTCCGTATGAAATTAAAAAAATAGTAAAAAATAGTCTATTTTACTCACAGACAAGTTATCTTTATAACAGTAAGGGAAATTTTGAAATCGGCCTAGTAGTTTTTGAGTTATTTCAATACAAACAAAAATATAAATCTTTGTAATATTACTAGCTTTTGCCTGCGACTCCCTACTCGTATTATTTAAAAATATTAATAAAGAAACGAAAAAAATATAGCCTTATGTTACTCACAAATAAATAACCTTTCTAACGGTGAAAGAATTTTTAAAATCGATCCAGTAGTTTTCGAGCCTATTTATTACAATCAAACAAAGTTTTCCTCTTCATATTATTAGTATAGACAATAGATTTATAAGTGTTTAATGTATAAATGTATATATAAAAATGTATTATGTATATAGGTGGGGAGACTGCGGAGATGCCGGGCATGTACCCGGCGGGCGTGTACGACATCGCAGGCTTCGCCCTCGGCGTGGTCGAGCGCTCGCACATCCTGCCCAAGATTAATGACATCACGGTACAATGACGTCATCACTCAATATACAACAACCATCACGTGACAGTTGGAAATTTTGTGAATGTCACCTTGACAGTGTATTTTGACCAATAGGAGAGGCAACTGCACGGATGTCGCCATTTTAATTTCGAAATTCGATTTTTAAAAATACTGGCTTATAGTTTGGTTTTGTTTTTAATATAGGAGAAATTCGTTGAATTTTCTTATTAATGGCAACTCTAAAAACTAGCAGCCCCCTGTCAATGTTTAAAAAAGTGCTATAAGATCCTTCTAAGTCTATAATCTAAACTGAAATATCCTATTTCCAACTGACATAACCATAAACACATGTCGCCCTTTTTATTTATAAATCTTTACTGGCATGACTAAAAGGGGCATATTTGTTTTTAAATTAAGAAGTTTTTGAACTAATCCTATAGTCATTTTACCGCTTATTGAAGTTATGGTAGTTGCCGTATCAACTTTATTTTCTTTTTGTTTGTTAGGTTGGCGATATAATAATAGGTCTACCGTCAAACGGGGTGCACAGCAACGGCTTCAGTCTGATACACAAGCTGATGAAGAAGGCCGGACTCACGCTAGAAGACAAGGCTCCCTTCAGCAAGGAGGGACTCACACTGGGTATTCTTTTCGTACTTATTGACATTTGAAACATAAATTCTTCGCTTTAGTAGGGAATCTCTAAAGATAATTTTAATAACAGAGTCCCTTTCATTTACAATAGAGCCCCTTCACTTTATAACAGAGTCCCTTCTCTTTATATCAAGGCCCCTTTTTGGATGTTTGAATATTTATTGCCACAAATAGAAGAAATTACATATACGGAGTAATTCTAAAGAAAACAGATCTAATTTTTATGACAAAGCCTTTAAGCTAAGTTAAGAAATTATTTAAAAAATATATAAATATGTTAGGCGAGGAGCTAATAAAGCCGACGCGTATCTACGTGGAGAGCGTGCTGCCGGCGCTGCAGCGCGGCGCGGTGAAGGCGGTGGCGCACGTCACCGGCGGCGGCCTGCTGCACAACCTGCCGCGCGTCATGCCCGACTGCGTGCGCGCGCGGCTCAACGCGCACTGGTGGCACGTGCACCCGGTAAACTCGCCACTATAACTTGGACTGCGACGCGATTTTACTGTACAGTCGCGGAAATCCGCGGCGTTATACTTTCAGTAACTCTGTTTTATAAGGTGTATAAGGTAAAATTTTATTCATTACTAGCTTCCACTCGCGAATCCGTCCGCGGAAAATTAAAAAAAAATGAGTAGCTTATGTGCATTTTTAGACTATCCTCTACTCAACAACCTCTACTTTTATGACAAAAATCCGGGGTGTTATACTTACAGTAACTGTTTTTGCTTAAATTGTTCAATTGAGGGAATAGTAAAGGGCCAATAGCCTAATGGTTTGGGGTACGGACTACCGATCATGCGGTCAAGGGTTCGAATCCCGCCATTCGACTATTGTGAACCATATCATAGCACAAGCCTAGAGCTTAATTGGAATGGTTAAAGGAAATATTAGTAAATTAACAAAAATCGACTAATATTTTAGATAAAAAAAAAATTACTTATCTGAGACCTTTAATATGCACCACGGCTGTTATAAAATTGAAAAATGTTATTTGTAATGTTTTATAATTTATAGTTGCTCGCGATTTCGTCCGCGTGAAATAAAAAAAATTGCCTATGTTACTCATTGATAACTTTTTGAGGTAAAAGAATTTTTGAAACCGGGCCAGTAGTTTTTTTTTATTTTAATACATACAAATATACAAAGACTAGTATAGATATAGATAAACAACTGTTTTTTCATGTTTTTTTACGATTTTTCTAATTATTTATATATATTTTATTAGGTGTTCGCGTGGATAGCGGATACGGGTTCAGTGAAGGATGAGGAAATGCTGCGAACCTTCAATTGTGGTATTGGAATGGTGCTGATCGTCTCCCCGGAGGACCAGGCGGATGTAAGCTATATCCCTCTCTTTCTATTTTCATAAGAAAGAAAGAGATAGCATATTAACAGTACAAAAATCGATACTTTTTGTATACTGTTTTTAATTTCTTGTCTTGATTTATTCTGGTGTTATATAATAATGCAGTAAAACTCTATTGTTAGCTCAAGACAATATTGCATATTGTTGAAATTACATTTGACTAGCTTTCGCCCGCGACTCTGTCTGAAATAAAAAAAAAACAATACTTTTAGTCCCTTTTCCTTACCACCCTTATATTAAGAGAAAGGAATGGGAAGGAAAAGTGGATTTGACGGCGGAGAAGACGCATAGGAAGGGGAAATGTCCTCTTTATGTGCACCTCTTCCTCTGTCAATGAAGGGTAGGCAACGCATCTGAAATTACGGATGTTTACGGGCAGCAGTAGCTTTCCATATCGGTGGATTCAGGCAGCTTGCTCGTTTGCCACCTTATATTATAAAAAAAAAGTAAGTAGCCTATGTGTTCTTTCTATCCATTACGCCAAATTTCATTAAGATCCGTTCACTCGATTAGGCTACAAACATCCATAAATCTAAACTTTCGCATTTATAATATTAGTGATAATGTGTTATGTTGCAGGTGATGAACATAACCCGTTCGTTCGGCGCGATGGTGATAGGGTCCGTGCAGGCGCGGCCGGCGGGCGGCGCGCGCGTGCTCGTCGACAACTTCGCCTCCGCACTCGACTTCACCCGCCGCATGCCGCTGCTTAATAACAAACGTGTATGTTCTAAAGAGCGTCGGTGGCTTGTGGTTTAAGCACATGACTTGTAATCTACAGGTATTGGGTTCGAATCCCGCCATGAACCAATGTGATTTTCGATTTTTCGAATTTTCATATGTACATAATTTACGACGTTCTTACGATGAAGGAAAACATCGTGATGCACCCTGCACATATCGGCGAAGAAATTCAAAGATATGTGTGAAGTCAACTAACCCGCACTGGGCCAGGGTGGTTGACTATGGCCTAGTCACCCTAACTTTAGGGTAGACGGAGTCTAGCCCCTCGGTGGGGACGTATAGTGAGCTGGTGATGATGATGATGATGTTCTAAAAGTTTTATTATTATGGGAAAATGCCTTACGAATATTATCCTACTGCTCATAATGTTTATGTTTATGTCTATCACTGTGTGTTTCCCTGCTAGTACTTACATCAATATGTATGTATATCTATGTGTTATTTAACATTATGTTCTAGGTTTGTGACTTGTGCCTTTTTATCGACATCTGTTAATCGTTTTCTTATCTAAAGCTTCTGTTTTACTATATTTTTGTATGAATAGTGTAGTTTAAGGTAATCTGGTCTTGTTTCATTTTAAAATCTAGTCACTTGAAAGTTTTTTACGAATTAAGACGATAACCAATAAATTTTACAATTGTACGCAGCTAATTGATTTGTTGATACGTGTCCTTTATTTAAAAAATGGCACTGTTTATATCTTTTAAGTAAACCTATATTTTCGTAATTGTAACACCACCAAATTCCCTAATTGTACAATTTAATGTTGGAGTTTTTATATGCTTTGTTACTGGCAGGCAACATTTTACACAGATAGGATGATTTTAATAATTTAAAATTTTATAAGGAATTATACTTGAGTGTGACACTTATCACGACACGTACCGGGTAACATACAAAATATGAGACTGTATTAAATATAAAATATGCTTGTTTTATGCTAATAAGTAGCTGGTCCCCTGCGGCTTCATCAGCATGAAATTATGAAAATTTTATGTTATTGTTTACATTTATCAAATTATCAATAGCAAATGTCAAAATGACATGACATGATAAACCTTGACAATCTTGCTTTCTTGATGTTGGCAGCAACTTATTGCCCCTTTCCCACATTAGGGGTTTTATCCAAAATATGTACCCCCTAAGTTTACGGCGTTAAAATATATAGCCTAAAGCGTGACGTAAGTGTAGGACTTTTTTTTATAAAAGGAATTATTGAAAAATATGCTGTAATTGCAGACATCTTAGGCAACAAAGAAGTGTGTGTTTACGCTTTATTATAATAGTATAGATATACCAATTGTATATGTGAATACAGTATTTGAATAGAGTCCGGGAGGGCGGAATATACCTGTCCCACATTTTTGACCGACTTCCTAAAAGAAGGAGGTACTCAATTCGTCTGTATGTTTTTTTTTATGTGTGTTGCGGCATAATTTTTATTCATCAACTTCTACAGACTCTTGGTCCGTACTCTTTTTTGCACAGTTTGTTTTTCTTTTCTTTCTCTTCACTAGTGAGTTCCTTTTTTTTAAAATACAATTATACTACTACTTATACTAGCACGACAGTTGTCAGTGGCGTGGGACGTCTCTGAACGGAGAGTAATCCCGCATTTAGTAAAGCGAAGTACTCGTGTGTCAGGTGGCGGTGCTGGTGTCGGGCGGCGGCAGCAACCTGCAGGCGCTGGTGGAGGCGGCGCGCGAGCCGGCGCACTGCATGTGCGCGGAGGTGGCGCTCGTCGTCTGCAACAAGCCCGCCGCGTACGCACTCAAACGCGCAGAGGCCGCCGGGATACCCGCACTGGTATGCACCAAACACACACATAAAAACACTTGGAAATTAATCTACACGTTACAATTCATTTTTCCATGACTGATGTTCCCGTGCGGCTTCATCAGCATGTAATTATCATAATTATTTATTGTTCACATTTGTCAAACTATCAAAATGACAAACGTTACAAGCAAGATTTTACTTCCTTGATGTTGGCAGCAACTTATGGTCTCTTTCCCACATTAAGGTTTTTATTAAAAATATTTACCTCGTAATTTTAATGGCGTGAAAATATATAACCTAAGTAAGTGTAGGGCTTTTTTTATTAGAAAAAGATTTATTCAAAAATATGCTGTGATTGTTGACATCCTATGCCACCATTCCCGTCAGTCCGTCAGACCGGACCCAACCCGGTAAGCATTTTTTTTTTTGGGCGGCCTTCTGCCGCCCCGACGTTCTCCCCCTGGCGTGGTGAATCCAAGGACTTTGTTTACTTTATTTTATTTAAAATACAATACTTACAGTTCCACTATGGAATACTATCATTAACACATTTTAAAATTCATACCTATTTACAATTAAAAAACATTAAAAAAAAACAATAAGTTACTCCGTAACCCGGCAGCATTGCAATACACATTTTAAATACTTCTTAAATTACGTGTTTATTATTTCTTATAACTTTGTTTTTTTTTTGGAAAGATTAAATGTTATTTTATATTTATAATATATTATATGGGATAAAAACATTTAAATTTTCATTTTAACCGTTGCTATTTTTTATAGGTGTTCAATCACAAGGATTACAGTTCTCGCGAAGAGTTCGACCGCGCGGTGTGCGCGGCGCTGGAGGCGCACCGCATCGACCTCGTCTGCCTCGCCGGCTACATGCGCATTCTCTCCGCGGAGTTTGTTGAGAAGTCAGCATACCATCATACTTATACATATTTTTATAAGGTGGCAAGCTAGCAAGCGTCCTTAATCCGCCAAAATGGCGAAGTGACCGCTGCCCATAGACAATAACGGATGCACATAAAGAGGATATTTCCTTTCCATATGCGTATCCATATTACCTTTCCGTCTTATACTTATGAGAAAAAAGGGACTAAAGTCTTTTTTTTTATAACATAAGGTGGCAAACGAGCAAGCGGCCACCTCAATCCGCCAAAATGGCGAAGCGACCGCTGCCCATAGACATCCGCAATTGCAGATGCGTTGCCTACCCTTATCCGACGGAAGAGGAGACGCACATAAAGAGGATATTTCCCCTTCCTATGCATCTCCGTCAAATCCACTTCCTCTTCCCATCCTCTTCTTGTGAGAAAAGGGTGGTAAAGAGAAAGGGACTAAAATTAGGGCTCCGGCACCACACTCATCAGACGAAACACGGAATTGCTTCCATTTCACGCCTGTCTTCTGTGTGGTCGTGGTATTACAACTGGCGTGCTGGCCTATTCGTGCTAAGGTGTTAAAGCGGGCACTACCACTGTAGAGTCGTGTCTCTGACACCACACTCATCAGACTACGCGGAATTTCTCCCACTTGACTCCTGTCTTCTGTGTGGTCGTGGTATTGCATTGCGAGCCGACCCTACAGTACGAAGATGTTAAGGCGGGTTCTACCACTGTTAAAGTGGTAATGTTATAAATGGGATAGTTTAGATGGATCCATCTACTACCGCATTTATAATACAGTAGAATCTCAATAAGTTAAATTCCAAGGGAAAATTGTCAGTGGTAGTGCCCGCTTTAACATGTTAGCAGTGCAGGGCACGCCCCCAGTAATACCACGACCACACACAAGACACCCGTCAAATGGACGCAATTCCGTGTTTCGTCTGATGAGTGTGGTGGCGGAGGCCTAATTTAAGTCCCTTTCTCTTTACCACCCTTTTCTTATAAGGAGAGGTTGGAAAGAGGAAGTGGATTTGACGGTGGAGATGTTGCATAGGAAGGGGAAATATCTTTATGTGCGTCTCCTCCTCCGTCGTATAAGGGTAGGCAACGCATCTGTAATTGCGGATGTCTATGGGCAGCGGTCGCTTCGCCATTTTTTGCGGTTTCAGGTGGTCGTTTGCTCGTTTGCCACCTAATGTTAAAAAAAACACAAAATTAAGTTATAGAGGTTTTAAGTTATCAAGGGTCTATGTTGAAGAAGGGAACATATTATTTTTTGAAGTTACCTATGTACTGTAGTAGTATTAGTTACCTTTGTATGTAGATGGAAGGGTCGCCTAGTGAACATCCACCCGTCGCTGCTGCCGCGGCACCGCGGGCTGCACGCGGCGCGCCAGTGCCTGGCCGCCGGCGACGCGCACTCCGGCTGCACCGTGCACTTTGTTGATGTAAGTACTACCAGGGAAACACGCGGTGTCACACTTTCAGATACGCGTTTTTTTTTTCTTTTGATCGACTTCCCAAAAGAAGGTACTCAATTCGTCTGTATGTTTTTAAACGTTTCTACTTGTTATGAAAAAGACTTTTAATGAATAAATTTAGGTACATTATAATAAAAAAATGTTTACGAAAAAATATCCAATAAAAAAGTTTTGTCTAATTTGTCATGTGCATAATTGCCTTGCTTTTTTACAAATAAATTGATAACTCCGCGGAGTTAAAAAAATACATGTTAAAAAATCTATGTTTATTTTGAAATTTCCTTAAGATTTATAGATAAGAACTAAAAAGTAGGTAGCCTTTATGATGTTCCAGACTATATTCTACATTTATGTCAAATTTCATTGAGATCCATTAAGCCTTTTCGACGATACCTTTTGACTAACATCCATCCATCCATCAATTATTAAAATATTAATTGTAAGATTGCCAGATATTTCACAACTATGTTTTTAAGAGCAATTTTTTTAATAATTTTATATAATTTCAGGCTGGAGTAGACACAGGTCCAATAATAACACAGGAGCGAGTGCCGGTACTCAAAGACGACACTGAGGAGAGTCTTACCGAGCGCATCCACCAAGCGGAGCACCGCGCCTACCCGCGCGCGCTGCGGCTGCTCGCGACTGGTCGCGTGCGACTCAGCGCACAAGGGGAGGTACTCTTCCACACTTAGACCACACTTAAAAAAATAACTTAACTAACTATATAAACTGATTAAAGTCCCATATTTGATTAAAAAGGCATTTATTTAATTAAAAGTAAATAAAACTATGCTTTATCTTTTGAAATACGATAAAAAATTGTCTATTTTTACTCACACAATTATGACGATATTTAAAAAAATTACAAAAAATCTGTTTTTTGCTCAATATAATATCGATTCTAAAAAAAACATGTGCCTATTATCTGTGCCTTAATAGTAATAAAGTTATGTTCCTATAATTTTGCAAGTAAATATTAACACATTCAATGCTAATAAGATTTTTACAAGTCTTCCAGTATACATACATTTGGAGTTTTTATTTAATGTGTAATTTAATTTAAGCACTGGCATAAAAACATTTTTTTTTTGTGGCATTGAATGTTTATGAGAAAATCAAAGCATGTTATTTGTTAATCTATGACAATTAATGTCTTCCATAGACAATATTTCAGATTTTTTACATTCCACATATTTTACAAAATACTTTATTAATCTGCAATTTATTATTGAATTTACACAAATGTCAACAAATAAACTCGAATATTTTCATCTGGTATTTTAAGTAGATTTAATTTGTTAATATATTGTAGACATTTTTAATAATTTTAGAGAATGTTTAAATAAAAAGATTTATTATACAATATTGTTTTATTTTAATTATATCACAGATTTTTTAAATTTAAATGATCAACTCAACTTAATTGAGTTTCTTCTTTTTATTAAATGTTAACAATTCACCTAAAGCGTTAAAGAAAATTCCGATTATATCTTCATTGTGATTGGTTGGTTGTCTTACAATCTGTTTTTGAGGTTGTTTATGGACAACGGAATGTTCTCCACTCTTTAATATATCCTCGCAAATTTGATCAAAATCAACATGAAATTTCTGTTTGTTCATCACAGGAACTATTAAATTGTACATATTGATTTTAATATTGATAGAATCTGCTAAATTTTTATTACTCTCGTATATTTTTTCCCATTTAATTGTGTCTTCATCGCTCAATGGATATGGACCTAGGTACATTCTGTCATTTTTTATTTCTTCCTTCAAAGCCTCAATATCTTGATCTATCTCTTTCCTCATTGTAATCCATTCTGGTGTAAATCCATTGTTTATTAACACCTAGAAAAGAAACAAAGAAATATAATTTTGTAAAATGTTAAGAAAATGCTTTTAGTTTTTTATTGTTCCCGTGTCATTTAAAAAACAAAAGTAGCCTATGTGTTCCTCCAGACTATGCTCTACTATGCCAAATTTCATCGAAAACCATTCTCTAACAACAATCCATCTAAACTTATGACCTATAGATAAAATGACGAACAATTTTGTCTCACGAGATATTTTTTTTTAATAACATGAATTGACAAATGGAATTCTGAAAGAATTTTTAAAATAGGCCAAGTAGTTTACGAGTTGTCCCAATACATACTAAAAAACAAATCATTGCTCTTTAAAAAAATTAGTAAAGACAAAAGCCATATTTACCTCATTTAATTTGTGAGTAGTAAAATCAACATATGGATTAGTATTCTGATCTTTCAAAGGTTTGCCTTTACCCGTTAAATTCTCAAACTCTCCCTTCGATATCGACTCTTGTATTAAATCTTCCACTAATCTATCAAAACCATACTTAGTTTTAACATCATGTTTTTTACTGTAACTCTCCTTTTTTAGTAATGCTTTATCTGTAGCTACGGCTTTAGATATACGATGCTCCATAACATTTTCCGCAGCCTTTTGTGCTCTAGCTTGTTGCCATTGCTTCTGTCTTTGGAACGGTGTGCCGTAACCTACACCTTCGAAGCTTAAGTATTGACGATGCTGCGGTGCAGTATGCTGAAATTCAACCAGTAAGTATATATTTATAAAATTTTAAAAATTCAATTATTTGTAAAAACTAAAAGGAAACATAAATGCAGACAGAGTTGTGGGCAAAAGCTAGAATTTAATATAAAACGAATATTTGCCTTTCTTTATTAAATTAAAGATATATCAACAACAATAAAATAAATATAACATACTTTGACATCATGCACAATCTTTTCCACTTCCTTGCTATTGCTGACCCCAGTGTTATGTTTTGACAGCAATCTGAATGCATTCTCTATAGCAACAAACTTTTCTATATTTGCATCTGGAGACCCTGAGTCTGGATGATACTTTTTAGCTAATTTAAGAAATGCTTCACGCACATCCTCTTGTTTTGAATTAACTGGTAAGTTAAGTACTTTGTAACTGTTCTGAAATTAATGAATAATTTCACGTTAGTATGCTAGCATCGGCATTTAAAGAAATTGTATGATCTTTTATTGAAGGCCTCTATATCTTAACTGTTTGGAAATACTACTGAGCCTAAAGTATTTCTCGATGCGACTGTGCTAAATTATTTTGAAAATGGGTAAGTGCCAGCCCTTGAGGTGATAACAACTGTATCTGGTAAAAATTGTTTGTTATGTAAAAATAAGAACAACTTACTTCAATACTTTGTTTAGAAATGGTTTCAATTCTTCGTCGAGGACAATAATAAATTAAAGTATTTTTTAGACGGCAACTGTGGAACAGCGTTTTATTCATTTTCGTAAAGCTGCTGCTAGATTGCTGAAATAACAATTAACAATCTGAGTTAAATGACATTAAGATTTTATTAAGTAATTTTTAATATCAATAAATAGAATGCGTAGGCGATATTTTTATTTTTTACAACTGATTTTAAAATTGACATTGACGTATTATGATAACATAATAACAATGACAACAAAATGACAATTACAGAAAATGTTGACATTTGATAAAGATTATGCCATTTCATATCCGGAAATTCGAAGGTTGCACTGCCTAAATGGTTTTTCGGAAAACAACAAAGCACGAAGTGACATTATGAGAGTGCCTACGATTAATAGATATGGTCCTTATAAATTAAAAAATGCTAGTTCAACTTTCTATGACTACGATAGTGAATGGTTGGCGAATGGTGGTTAATCTGACAAATTAACTACTCTTTGATTTTTTTTGACATTTCTGTGACAGTACGACAGATTTTTGACGTTTAACTTGAGTAAAATGAAATAATTGTATCCCGTTGTGTATTCTAGTGTAAAATATCCGTAAAACATCCTATAAATAAGGAGCAAATTAAGTGAAATCATAATTATTCTTGTGTATGTGATAAATGTTTTGAAACAATGGCTTTAAGTGTGCAAGACGTCGCTAAACGGTATCCAATTCATTGGCTGGTTTGGAATAACGAGCACCAAGAACTGAAGAACTCCTTGGAAGCTAATAAGGTACACTCAGGATCTCATAATTTACATGATAAAAAATTACCTTTTTGTTACATTTTATTGTTTGTATTGTATACACATATGTACATATCCCAATATTCCAATTTGAAAAGTACTAACTAAATGTCGTCTTAATATATAATAGTATTAAATTCCTAGATTAGAGTTATAGAAATGATAGATCTAGAATTACAATGTAATCATTCTCCATCTGTATTTCATACAATAGTAAAATTTTAGTATGAAAAAAAATCACATTGCTTTTCGTAAAAGACTTTCTACACTCTATTTCTTTAAAAAATGTTTGCATCTAATAATAGAAGTATTCAATGTTATGTATGGATTACTATATTCCTGTGTTAAGGTGGGGTTAAGATAAGAAAGCTTTGAACATAATATACACAAAATGACATCACAATATGACTCAGAGAGCATTTTTAATACTGGCTGATAACAAGCCATTGAATATAATTAACACATACACAGCCAGCATGGTTACATAAATGTAACATGCAACTGTGATGTGTTTACTTATGGCTATGTAAATTATACATTTAATAAACATATATTAAGCGAGGCAAAACTAAATATTAATATGATAATTACTACCAAACATGAACATATGATAGACACCCAAAATCTGTTCTCTTATGTTAAACAACTTATTTATTAAATTGTTTAAACTTTTGTGAGACATTATTACAACTAATTATTAAGCACTCAAATATTATTTCCGGTGGCGCCACTGACTAGTTTTGGGACCCTTTAGGGGTCTATCTTTAGTGCAAGTGTTGTCGGACTTTCTTTGTGGTCAAGTCAACAGTGGTAGTGCCTGCTTTAACATCTTAGCACGAATGGGCCGGCACGCCCGGTGAATACCACGACCACACAGAAGACAGGCTTGAAATGGAACCAATTCCGTGTTTTGTCTGATGAGTGTGGTGCCAGAGGCCTAATTTAAGTCCCTTTCTCTTTACCACCCTTTTCTTAAAAGGAGAGGATGGGAAGGGGAAGTGGATTTGACTGTGGAGGAGATGCACAGGAAGGGGATATATCCTCTTTATGTGCGTCTCCTCCTCCATCGGATGAGGGTAGGCAACGCATCTGCAATTGCGGATGTCTATGGGCAGCGGTCGCTTCGCCATTTTGGCGGATTCATGTGGCCGTTTGCTCGTTTGCCACCTTATGTTATAAAAAAAAAGACATACTTAGCACTGGCATTAAAAACATTAAACAATATTAGAATGGCATGAATAGGGTTTAATTTTATTTTACACATCTTTTATCATTTTTCTTTTGATATAGATAGATTTGCAAAATAAAATAAACTTTGTTTAAAATAGATAAAACTGAATTTTATATGTAAAAAAAAATACTTTGCTCTCCGAATTGTCTAAACAAACTCTGATGCTCAAAAGTGAATCTAGTGTATAGATAGAATAAAGCAAAACTTAGGGGACTACCAATTACTTAGTGGGAACAAGTCTAGTGTCACACTCAGAGATAAAGTGACATATATTTGCTTTGTATGATAATGCCTTAAGTCCATTTTGTACAGCATACTGTATAAAAATAAATGATAACCATTTTGATGTTTAGATGTTTTTTATAGCCCAACTAGTTTTTGCCCACGACTCCGTCTGCGTGAAATTAAAATAAATTTGAATAAAGTAGCCTAAGTGTTCTTCTAGACTATCCTCTACATCTATGTAAAATTTCATCAAGATATGTTTAGCAGTTTAGGCTACAAACTCTAACAAACATTCAACCATCCATCTAAACTTTCGCATTTATAATATTAGTAAGATGAAGTAACCTACATATATTATTTTTTATTTTTCTTCAATATAGCAGTTTTGTGATGATAAGGGTTAAGATTAAATTGTTTGTTCCCAACAATATTTCTATTAATCATTATTTTTTTATTTTTAAAACTATAGTAATAAAATTTTAGACTAGACCAACCTTCATACTTCATACTAATATTATAAATGCGAAAGTTTAGATGGATGGATAAACAACTGAATGGATTTCGATGAAATTTGGTAGAGATGTAGAGGATAGTCTGGAAGAACACATAGGCTACTCACTTTTGTTTTTTTTTTTAATTCCACTTGGACGGAGTCACGGGCGAAACCTAGTGTGATATAAATGTAGGTTGTGTATAATTGTCGCTTATGTTAATCGAGTGCGCGTGTCGCGTGGGAGTCCGTCTGTCGCGGAAGTAAAGTTTTTGTGTACGGCTTTGAAGCCTAACAAACAGCCGTGTTTATGACATACTTATAATTGTATTATACAAAGCCGTACAAATTGATATGCCCTTGATATTACATTGATATATGCTAAATCACGCGCCGAATTTTGTACCAAAAATCGTTATAAGTGGAGCGAACTTACATTTTTTTTATATTACCAGATTTTTGTTGATGTAGTAATATTTTTTGTATCTAACTAAGCTAGAGCTTGTTATGGTTTACGATAATAATGGAATTGTAGAATTCGAACTTTGAACGCAAGAATCACGCGATTGGAATTCCGTACTCTTAATCAGTAGGCTATTGCTGCTTAAGTCTCAATCACCTTTCTCTTTCTCTCTTCCCTTTTATGCATCATAATATATGCGAAAGTTAGATGTTTGGATGTTTGTTAGAGTTTGTAGCCCTAAACGGCTGAACGGATCTCGATGAAATTTGGCATAGTTGTTGAAAATAGTCTGAAAGAACATATAAGGTAATCACTTTTCTTTGTTTTAATTTCATGCGCACGGAGTCGCGAGCGAAAGATAGTTATATTATAAAGGATGTGGCAAGAGAATATATGTAATTGACATTCCAAATTGTTCAATATTTCAGTTCACAAAAGAAGACATCGAGTTGAGGGACCCTCGCGGTCGCACGCCGCTTTTGCTGGCGGTAACGCTGGGACATATCGAGGCAGTAGAGGCGCTCATCAATGCAGGCGCTGATGTTAATTGCGAGAAAGACGGCTGGACAGGTAAGGAATAAACAGAGTACTGCAACGCGGAATTAAGAGTCAAATATCCAGTCATCATTCGTCAAGTTCAGTCATTCTCGAGTGACATAAGAATCTATAATCTCTAAACGCACTGGAACTTTAAAGTGTAGCATGTTGCAGGTCTACAAAATTCATTTCTAATTCCAATTGTAATATATTAAGATCTAATTGCCACACTACGGGACTACCATAGTAATAACGAGCTGTTGCTCGCGACTTCGCCCGCGTGAAATTTAAACATTATGGCCTATGCTACTCACTGATAATGTAGCTTTTTAATGGTGAAACAATTTTTGAAATCGCCCCAGTAGTTTTTGAGTTTTTTCAATACATAGTCAAAAAACACAGTTCCATCCTTTTTATAATATTAGTATAGATTAAACAATTCCGAATGTTGGCACTTAAGTTAAATTGTTTTATATCTCACGAGCTGTTGCCCGCGACTTCGTCCGCGTGGTATTCGAAAACGTACAAACTATATAAATTACAAAAAGCTACGTATTTCCGGGAACCGGACATTTCTCGGGGATGAAGCTAATCCCATGTGTACTCCAGACTTTGTTTTATATCTGTGCCAAATTTCAATAAGATAAGTTGAACCGTTGCAGAATGATCGAGTAAACATTAAAAAACTAAATTAATGAATCCCATGGGAACCGTAACTATTCCCGGGATAAAAAGTAGCCTATGTGTTCTTCCAGACTATGCTCTAAACCTGTGCCAAATTTCATGGAGATCCGTTCAGCCGTTTAGGCTACAAACGCTAACAAACATCCATCCATCTATCCATCCATCCATCTAAACTTTCGCATTTATAATATTAGTAAGAAGTAAGATGTAATATTAGTAAGATTAGATTTTTCCCATAGGAAAATATCAGTTTCACTATTGTATTCAATATTTATTTAATACCCCTCAGTGTTATTGTTACACAATGCTTTGTGACCGATCGACAAAAGTTTACCTTTCCCATGTAGTTATGATGTTGCGACGTTTGTTTATCTGTATTAAATTTGTAATGGAAAATTGAATTGCGAAAACGTACCCAAAAATGAACATTAGATAACAATAGACTGATGTATGCTTTTTTGGCATAATTTGATAAATTTATACCTCAAAAAATACCTTTCTCAAAATACATACATAGGCGTCACCAGCCGATCGTGTAGGTTTAGATGAGTATAAGGGGGGAGGCAGTTTTCCCCTACCAATGTGACTGGCGACGCCCATGTTGTGCGAAGTAAAATTAAGGAAATAACGAGTTGTAGTCTAAAATTATGGATGTACATCTCTTCTCTCTTCTGTTCTTCGTTTAGGCAGTAATTTGGAAGGCGTTATAAATGGTATGGTATTTGTAGCGGTGCAGGAGGCGACAGCGCGGGGCGACGCAGCATTGCTGTCGCTGGTGCTGGCGCGCCGTGACCGGCAGCGGCATGCGGCGCGCGCGGCCGGCGTGCCCGACCTCCTGCGGCGGCTTAGCCTTGCACCTGACTTCTATGTAGAGATGAAGTGGGAGTTCACCAGCTGGGGTACGTGCATGTATTCGAATAGCTGGCGCACACCGTTGACTAAACAAATTGTGCGATTGTCGATTATTTCGGAGCCAATTTAACCAAAAATTCAATAGCGTGAGTACCTCCATAAAAGCTCTTAGGAATCGAAGCGAGATTAAACAGTTGTGCGACAGTTTAGTCAAAGGTGTACGGTCGCTCTTACACAACACAAAGTATACACACAATACTGTAGCATAGTTTTTTACAGCATAAGAATTCGCCAAAATATTAAGTGACCGATGCCTAAGGAACTTTATTTAAAGTTGATTTCAACAGAGATGACGCAGAGAAAGAGGATATTTTCCCTAACTATGCATTCCATCCCCTGTCAATATATCTACCCCTTTTTGTACTTAAAGGGGCAGAGGGGAAATAGATAATGTCTACAGCACGCAACTTGATGGCAACTATTTTGTATCTAATGATTTCAGACAGTTTTTTAAGTGACAATCGTATCCTATCAGCATCCAGTACAATTAAGTGAGGTGCTGTATTAGGCTGTATATTTCAGTGCCGCTGGTGTCGCGCTACTGTCCGTTCGACACATACAAGGTGTACAAGCGCGGCGGCAACGTGCGCGTCGACACCACGCTCGCCGGCTTCGACGATACCACCTGGCAGCGCGGAGAGCGCACCTATATATTTAGAGGACAGGGTACGTGCGTCTTGATAGCATAAACTGCGGCAGGTTACGTGATACATGTTAAGGGGATAAAACGTAACACACCATACAGACACTTTAATTCTACTAATATAGTATAGAGGTGTTGTACTACGTATCTCCAATACAAATAACGCTGAAATTCGTCATAAACAGATGGGCTTCTTGATGATTTTTTTAAATTTGCATTGGTAGAATCGCTGGCGACTAGTATAAGGACTGACCATTGTGTAGGTAACCGCGCGAGCCTGGTGGAGCTGGACCACACGCTGGGCACTGCGTGGTGCGAGCAGCTGGACG